GGGCAAAAGAATAATAAATTATTTCAGGAAGTAATTAAATATTTTTGAAAAATTGCTGATTTTGTCAATTTAGAAAATAGTAGCCTAATATTGGATAGGGTATCCAAAATTAGGAAACCATTTTTTTATTCAAAAACTATTGATAATTTCAAAACTTTATTGAGGAAAATACAAAACAAATAAAAAATTCCACTTTACAGCTTAAAAAGGGCAAATCATCCATCCATACAAAAGTCACAGATGTAATTGATTTTGCCTTCAGCACCAGCACAGGCTTCATGGAACCATCTCTATCACTTGCAACACTTTACCCATTTTTCTCCTGCTTTATCTAAAGAAAATAATTCCAAGCAGAAGGGACAATCCATATCTTCTTTTGGGTCCATATCATCTTCCGAATCCGCATATTGGACTTCCTCTTCTGATTCTAAGGAATCCGAGGAAACAACAACTTTTTGCTTTTTCTTTTGAGAAGTGTAATTTTTCTTAAATTTTTTAGATGATTTGATTGAGGAAGTTTAAATTCTTCTTAAACTTTTCCGTTGTTTTTGAACTTTGTGATATTCTAAATAATTATAGATTTGAGTTGTCGGTTTTTGTCACTTCCTTTTTTTGTTATTTATGCGTTGTGCTGTTGTTATATGGGAAGCAGAATAGGCAGACTATGTCTTTAGAAATTGAGGCGAGTATTACAATGCTTGTTTAGGTTAGGTTTATTAACTTCTCTGAGACGAGTGACGCCATTTCGTTTATCAAATTTATATTCTTATTTCTATTTAAATATAAGCTACATTTGCTGTTCCTCCACCAGATATATTTATTAGTTCTACTTCTGATTGAAAAGTGGAGCTTCATGTTTTGTGTAGGCATGAGTATTGTTTGTTTTATTATAGGTAATTTAAAACAATATTAATAGACCTTTTTAATTACCTATAATTTGTTTCAGATTAGTTCATTTAAAGAAATAAGTGAAAATGAAACGATTCGCCAGCTTTGGGGCTGTGCCACTAAAAGTAACATCGAAGTTATTCAACGTTTCCAAAATAAAGTATTAAGGAACCACTTCGATGCACCCTGGTACTGCCACAATACTGATCTTCATAGCGACCTTAAAGTGGAGACTGTTGAAAATACAAAAATTTGCCAGTAGTCACCAACAACAACTGCTAGAACATGGAAACCTTGAGACTATCCAGCTCCTCAACAATTCCAATCTAATAAGAAGACTCAAGAGAACCAAGCCTTTTGAATTGATTCAGTGATGTTAAAGCAGAGTATAGTGCGGTTAAGTGTTATACGTTAACGGTAGTGTAACTAAATAATTAGACTCTAAGGTATACTATAGTGAGTAGAATATTAGTTTATGATGTTTTTCATCCCTTGAAAAGTTAGATTAGAATAAGATTAGTAATTGATCTTAATGATCAGATTTTAATAATCATAAATATTTCATACTTGTGGCATTTATTAAAAAACTATTTGTTTCAGATTAGTGCATTTAAAGGAATTTTTGGAAATGAAGCTATTTGCCTTTATATATTATGAAATAATGTTTAACAATGTTTTGTTTGTTTGTTTGTTTGTTTAAGAATCAATGTTTTGTGTATTTTAAATAAACAAGTATATATATTTTAGAAAAAAAATCTAGACTACATTTCTGCAATATTACTATTTAATATTTCTAAAAGATTTCAAATTTTTATTTCAGAAATATTGCTGTGAAATATATTTACAGGACATTTTTACGTTTCAGGAACATTTCAGAAATAGTTCTGGGATGTTTCGTAACATTTATACAACATTACAAATGTTTCAATGTAATATTTTTGAAATATTACTGAAATATGTTTGTGCTCTATGGGATATTAATGACTAATAGACTTGTTTTTGTTTTTGATTATTTCGCAAACCAATTCAGAATCACTGAATTCCACTCGATCAGCTAATAGATTGTTATAAATAACAACGCGCCGTGTTCTTGAAAAAATAATTCGCCAACTGTATTTGAGAAATGGATTTGACGGTTCTGTTTTCTTTTTGAACCACTGATTTTGAAGCCAACTTTGCTGACCGTTGTCAGATTTAGTAACGTATTACAAATTCTTAAGAACAATTAAATTATAGAAATTTACACCCTAATGTGCTAAAGTATTTTTAAACTCTATTAATTATTTTATAAAACGTTTTTCATAAAATAGTAAAGGGTTTAAAATAAAATTTAAAATAAAAATCGAGCTCTGAGTACTAAAAAGTCTAACTATATAAAACTTAAATTTGGCAACATTGTTTTCAGATTATTGTTGTTAGTCCTGATGTAAACATTTACATTGTAATTTGCTGCGTTTGAGAATCCACATCGGATGCATCTGAGATGTAAAAAATCTTTGATCACGTGATTCAGTATACGTAAATGTAATGGGACAGATGTGTCCGATGTGGATAAAAAAACGCTCGAGATGTAAAAAATGCATCCGATGTGGATTCTCAAACGCAGCATATGTTACAACTGCACTCTCTGATGCTACCTCTATATATCCTAGTTCCATACTATATAACTTATTTACCAATGAAAACATAAATTATATATTTGTCTCGCCAACAAATCGTTAGGTAATTAGTTTTTTCCATGTCTATCTACAGGTGAAATGAAATGTGTTAATTTCAATATTATTCTGTAAGAAGCTTTAAGAACAAAACAGATAAATACCTACCTAAGTACATTTAATAGGCTATAAAACAGTTATTGTTCCACTGGTTTTTGAATATCAAATTAATTAAATAAGACAATAATTTTAATGTGAAATAGTCATGTCTTTATATTCGGATATAAATCGATGCTTTATTTACCCATTATTTTGCATCTGTGAAAATATATCTCTATTTAATCCGTTTTTAAAAATCTAATAAAAGAAAATAGATTTTTTAAAGCTTATTTGTCCCTGTATAAAAGTAATTTCTCCATAATATATTACGTACATAAAAACTAACCTATATATTTCTAATGTTTTTACTCACCTTCGCAGTAGAACAAATCACCTCACTACACACTGATTAAAAAAATAATATATTATTTAGTTAGGCCGTTATTTTAAAACCTATAGGTACAACATTTAAAGACTACCACAATATAAAAGTAACAAAATACATAAATATAAAGAACGATGTGTAAATGGCCCCGGTATCTGGGCAACCAACTAAACGCTTGCGCATTTTGGTGGATGCGAGGGTTTTAATATCGGCCAGAGGGAAAATACCTAACAGGTATTATTTATTATTCATGAGATGACAAAACTAAAGACAGGTAAAATGCATTAACCCGCTGAACTAAAAAGCGTAGGTGGACCATTTATTACTGAGAATAATATTTAGCAACATAAATATATTTCATTTGTATATATCAACACCACCAAAATGGAAATTACAAAATAAATGCAATTAGTTGCACCCTTTAATAATAATCTATTAATAAATTGCCATGGGCGCCCATAAAAAAAGGGGGAGGGGGGATATTGAAGGAATTTTAAGTTATTTTATTGAAACACACGTTCATACTAGTATACTACGGTACGATCGTTGTTCAGACTGGAATTTTGTGAAGTACTTGATAAGATCATCATAGGAAGTGTCATTTGAAAAGAATTAGTTTAAAACCTATAGCGTCTGCTAACTGAAAGTTGAAATTTACAATACCTATACCTTTACATATATATTTGATTAGTCAAATTTGCAGTCTATTTTTTATTTTTGAAATAAAAATATAAAAATAAAAAAAAAACATTTTATTGTTGTTTATTTATATTAAAATATATTTTATTCATCATAATAATAATATTATAATAATCTAAGTATTTATGGTACCCATTGTAAATTTTAACAAAAAACGTATACTGACTTCTAATAGCATAAATTCAACCCATTTTGAAAAAATTGCATTTAAAATTTTCTAGCCATGCAGCCAATTTAATTTACTTTACAAAATATTTCAACAAAGGTGGCTTGAAATGAGTTTAATTTATTCAATTAAAACAAACATTGTTTTTTGTTCAAATTTACTTGAAAACAAGTATTAAAAAGTAATTTAAAAAAAACCGACTTCAAAATCGTGCAGATACCGTCCCCAAATATTAACCAAATTTATATGGGATCACCCCTGAGGTACCCCCTTACTAATAAAAAAAGTATCATTGAAATTGGACAAGTGGTAAAGAATTACCGCTAAATATACATTAAAAATGAAGAGTTTGAGGATTTTCTAATGAACCCAATTATTAGATTTTGACCAAAATAATATGGGACCACCCCTGAAGTACCCCTTTTTTAACAAAAAAAAATCATAGAAATTGGATAAGGTGGTAAAGAATTACCGCCAAACATACATTAAAAATGAAGAGTTTGAGAATTTTCTAATGGACCCAATTATTAGATTTTGACTTGACCAAATTAATATGGGACCACCCCTGAAGTACCCCCTTTCTAACAAAAAAAGAATCATTGAAATCCGACACCCTATTAAAAAATTATCGTTGAACACCATAAAAAAAATATTACGACGAATTGAGATCCTCCTCCTTTTTTGAAGTCTGTTGAAAATGAATAGTTTTCTACATTCAGTAGAATGTAGGTAGAGCTCCCTCTTACGAAATAGTAACAAAAATATTACAAAAAAAAACGAAAAATAAATGTTTACTTTAACTCCAAGTATCTAAGACCCAGTGTTATTTAGCAAAACATTAATATTTTGAGATCAAGAAGCTGTAACTACAATGGTTAAAATATTTACCATTCCTTATGAAACACCCTGTATGCAAATCTGCTTTAGTGGTTGCCTACATGGCCTGCGTGCGCCTCTCACTGAATAATATGGTGTTCTATGTTCTATCATTATTACAAAATGACCAATGAAATGATTAAATTTTGATCACGTGGTAGTTTTCTAACCATTTCATTAGTCATCTAGGCTAGGTCATGGTGATTGAGTCGATAAAATGTAATGTGGGCGAATCTGTCAAGAAAATCGATTATAGGTTAAGTATTTGCAGGAATGTCAAAATAAAGAAAATTATTTGGGTCTTACAATAAATAAGCAAACAATGAATTCAAGAACAAAATGTAAGATCAACTCGGACGGTAGTGTTTGCTTATTAGATATTGTGAACTCATTTAACTCATCAATCAAAGAAGAACATGCATGGGCTTTATGTTATCAAATTGCCAAGTATTTTGAGGAATGTTTGCAAAATAATAAACTAAATTCTTATGTTATTACTGAGGTACAACAAGTATACTTAAAGACAGATGGAACAATACATGAAAATACAGGAATAAAAAGTGAAATTGAAGGAAACCCTCAAAATGAAATTGATATAATTAGAGGCATAGGTGTTGTAATCTATGCAACTTTAGATTCTGAAATTCAAAGTGGCGAGGAGAAAGTTATCAGTTACGATTTAGAGCAACTTATTAGTGATTTAATAGCAGATGACACAAACAGTACTGACCATAATCATCATGAAACTGATGATGAAGGTATAGAACGAGACTCTGGAGAAAGTGAAGATGCCAATGCCTCCAGAACTGTATATCACATAACTTTGAAAGAAGTGATAAAAAGATGTGAAAACCATTTGGGGTATTTAAGTAAAGCTCAAGCTGAAGCACATTATAAGGCAGTCGTAAGAGCATTGGTAGCAGAGGCAATAGAATTATCAACATTCTTGGAAAAAGTTGCTCAAGGTAGCATAAGTTTGCCTTCGAGTAGTACTAGTGATCAATTACAATTCTCTGACTGGGCAAAATTCTGGGTACAAGTTATGAATGAGCTGAGAACAGGAGTTAAATTGAAAAAAGTTAATTTTACTAAAGCACCTATAGAATATGAACTGACACCTTATGAAGTGTTAATGAAAGATATTAGAAATTGTAGATATAATTTAAGAAAAATTATGATTAATGGTGATATACCTTCTAGAGTTACGAAAGATGCTCACAATATAATTTTGGAGTTTATTAGGTCTAGACCTCCATTAAAAAAAGTGAGTGATAGGAAGATTGTATCTCAACCACGTCCTCTAACCCCACGTGAACAACTCCTTTGCTCAATAAGAAAGGGTAGAAAGTTAAGACCAGTGCCAACACCACGGTATGAAAAATTTATTATACTAACCAAAAGTAGAAAGCCTCACTTAAATTGAATAAACGGAATTTGTATTTTGACCTGTCCCCCTTAAGTATTTATCCATGGAATTGTTAACTTAATGCTTCTGAAGTTCTTCATACTGAATTCAGAAATCCTGTGATGATAATATTGTAAATAAATATAAATAAATGTCTGCCTACATGCTAATTTATTTAAAAACTATTGTAAATAGGTAATTACTAAATCATTGTTTCTCAGAAAAAAATATCTGCTTATTAAAATTGCAGGAAATATTGAAAAATAATATTGAACTATTTTTTTGATTGTGATATTATTAAAATTGTACTGATAGTGGGTTAATTATTTAGTTTATTTATTTTTCATATTGTTTTTTGAAATAAGAAACCAATAATATATCATAATATTTTATATGAGCAATTTTTGTAAAATATTTACAAAATTTCACCACTGTGTTTCACCTTCAGCTTTGATAATAGCAATAATTCTTTGGAACATTGTATTTTCAAGTGCTTCAGAAGCTTATTTCTCGAATATTTGCTTTTAATTCTGGTACTGAACTTGCGGATGCTGCACAGAGCTGCTTTATTCATTTTATGCCATAATGATGGAATATTATTATAAATAAACCAATTTAACATTTTTTTTAATGTATGGACATTTCGCTGTTCAAACATTTTTTAAATTAAATTACAAATTTCAGTAAGTGTGCCAATTGTAATGGAATGGGGCTCGTATAAAACCACCTTCAACAATTACCTAATTTTTTTAAAATATGTACCTTTGCAAATATAAAAACATTTTTATATTTGAATCTTAAAGTAAGGTAAATGATAATTTTCAACATTGGTTCCTCAAACAATATGATTTGAAGATACATACCAAACCATACATTTTTAAATTAGAATTACTTAATTAAATGACAAATAAATATTGTCTAGCAGCATTTAGTCTACTATGAAACTTAAACATCAACTTTTTTTTTAAGTACTTCCAAGTTAAAAATAGATACCTCTAAAGTACCAGATATTCTTCAAGCACCTCCAAAGCCAGCAGCAAGGAAGTTAATCAAAGTCGATTTTTCTCAATTCGAAGATGAAGATGATGATGATGTTGACACTCCTGATTCAGCTACAGAACCTGGATTGTGGTCAAATGAGTACCCTGAACTTTGCGAGTCTGCTTTATTAGAGGCTTATGATCTTGCCACTCAGACTTATACAAGAAATAACATCAGACGTAATACACTGGAAGTTATAGGTAGGTAATGGAGATTTTTTTATAACAAAATTATCAATTTTTGTACAATACAAATAATAACTAAATAAGTTTTCTCTAATACTTCTTATAGAAAGCTTTTTTTTTATGTTTAATATTATTTTGATTTCTAAAAAGTTAAAAATTTGAATAGATCAACAAAGGTTTCATTATAGAAGACTAATAAAACCTTTGTTGATCTATTTATAGCTTAAATTGATTTTTGTATGATATTAGAATTACCAAATTAATTTATAATGTGTTTTTTTTTTAGACACAAATGTTGGCTGCTATTCTGTACCTCAATCTCGGCCTGGCTCAAGACAATCCTGCAATAGCTCTGAAGCAGAATCAGTTCAGCTAGAACCAGAGGTTGCCAAGCAAATTCAAGATGAACTGACTTGTTCGCAGAGTTGGCAAGACACCATATCATTAGATGATAGACTTTCACTCACATTATCAGAAATTGTACATATTCGGACGGTACTTACCAAAGCTGAATTAGATGCTTTGCCAGTTGAAGGAAAGGTAACTATTGTCATGAAATTGACAAATAACGTAAAATATAATATATATAAAAAAAGATATAAGCTCTCTTATATAAAACAATTATTAAAGACTTACCACATTGTATATTAACCTAGGGGCAAGTCACAGTTTTCTAATATTATTCTGTTTTATTATTTATTATAACTCCAGCCTATATTTATGCTTAATTATGATTGTCCAGTTTAGCTTTGGCTTATTTTCACCAATAAATATAAATATTTTTTGCTGAAAAGTAATTACACTACTCGCTAGCATCCAGTGAAGCCTCTTCTAGGAGTCCACTTTTCGACTACCCAGTCCAATATGAATATTATTAAGTCTTATAATCGATCCAACTACACTCTTTTAACCACAGACATTTAGAATGTTCAGTAAGATTCAAAAATACCCTTGTTCTGTCCAAAAAATTGGGTTGAGTAGTCGAAAAGAGGATTCCTAAAAAGGAGGGAGGCTTCAGTAGGTACTAGTGAGTAGTGAAATTACGAGTACTTTTCAGCATAAAATATTTATATTTATTGATAGATATTTATTATTGATGTAAAATAAAAATAAATATTTTACATGTGTCGAATGTTAAAAGTATAAAAAAAGATATATAGATACAGAAAATACAGTTACAATTTAGAAAAATATAGACAAAAAAAATATAAATAGATACACATAACATATTAAAACATACCTACTTAAAAGATAAGAATTAAAAAGGTATATTCACCAAAAAGGTTAACATATTACTCACATGCACAGATGGACACATGTGATAAGAATTCGTCAATGGAATAAAAGCAGTGACTCGACAAACATTTGCGAATTCTTATTTTAAATAAATTAAAAGATGAGTTTTTACAAGCTTGAGGTAGGAAATTGTACAGTTTAATGCTGATTTATCTATAATAATCATGAAGTTTGGTTAATCTGTAATTAGGTAAAGATATATCATAATTTCCTCTGGTGCAATAAGAATGTTTAGAGCTCTGTCTTATAACATTATTATTGCCAATTTGTTTTTCATGTATAAAAGACACTCTAAAATAAAACAACATGGTAGTGGTAAAATACCCAACTGTTTAAAAATAGGTTGGCAGTGACTATTGTAGCTACTCGATGTCATGATATGTACTACGTTTTTTTGTGCAATAAATGCCCTAAGTTGGTTGCTTGTATTTCCCCAAAGTATAACCCCATACGTCATAATGCTATGAAATAATGAAAAGTAGACCATTTTTAAATGTACAATGTCCAATTGAAATTTTAGCTGTCTAATTGCATAAGTAGCTTTTGCTAAACGACTTAATAAACTTTGAATGTGATATTTAAAATCTAGTTACGGGTCTAAATATATTCCTAAAAGTTTAACCTGTTCCTCACTTTCAGCAATGATAGAAAATGACATTTGGTGAGTTTTTGCTTCGTTTAATGTAAGACCATTGCTACCAAACTAATTCTTTGACATAACTTCTGCTTCATTTAGCCTTTCTATTGTATCAGGTTTATTTTTATCTGTAACAATATATATTGAATCATCAGCATAATACACCTGTATGATATTACTTATTATCATTAAAGTAAATAATAAAAAGTAAGGGTCCGAGAATAGAACCCTGTGGAACTCCATACAGTACTGAATTCTTGCCCGAAGTATGCCCATCAATTTGAACATATTGAGTTATTTTTTGCAAATAAGAGGTAATAAGCTATAATGGTTTCCGTCTAACTCCATATCTCTCTAATTTTAATAATAAAATGTCATGTTGTACCTTATCAAACACTCTCGTAAGATCATAAAATCTGGCAGTACTATGTGAACGATCCTCAAAACCATCCGTAACAGCTTCATAGAGATCACATTGCATTAATTGTTGATTTGTTTGCCCTGTAACTGAATTGATTTTAGCTTAGCAACTTGTTGCTTTCAAAAGAATTAATAATTCGTTGTTTTAACACTATTTCAAAAATTTTGCTTACTATTGGTATAATTGAGATAGGTCTGTAAGCAGATGGTAGATTCATGTCCCCTTTTTTGAAAACAGGGGTAACTCGTGATACTTTAAATGTATCTGGAAACACTCCAGATTTCATGCACAAATTAATTAGGTTAGCAATGGGAGTGTCTAAAATATCAACAACTGATTTCAACAAAACTGCACTCAATCCATAAATATCCCTAGCTTTAGAATTTTTTAAATCTTTGATGATTTGATGGACTTCTGTTGTATCTGTGGGGTTCAAAAATATTGATAAATGATTAAAAGGAATTTTTTAATGAAGCTGGTAACATTAGTAGACTGCTTGCAATTTTCAACTAAATCGTGAATTACACTTTGAAAGAAATCTGCAAAATCATCGACAGAAGATTTATTTCTGCACGAGTTGGTGTTAATTATTTGCCAAGCTGTTTTTTGTTTTTTATCAGACTCAAATATTTTTGTATTGTTCAAAAATGCCGTTTCCTTATTAACAATATTACGGTATTCTTTTTTAAAAACGATAATAATTCGAAGCTTTCCGGTGACTTCGTAGAATTGAATATTACTTTAGTAGCTCTAACTTTGACCTAATATAACTTACATTTTGAGTGTTTTCTAAATTATTTTTACTTTTGATTACCTTCTTTTCAGGAAAACATTGTAGGTACAGTTTAGATAAAACGTCAATAATAATATTAACTTGGTCGTTCTCATTAAATTTATTTAAATTCCAACTTAATTCAGATCTAAAATTATTTATGGCCCTCTCAGTCATTGGCCTACTTAAAGATGCATCGTTTACATTTTTTGTATCGGTAATTAGTTCAAGTGTTATACCCCTGTGATCCGAAATAAAAGGCTCAATGACATCTATAATAAAAATTTATTTTTCTAAGTTTGTAAATAAATTGTCAACTCTTGTTCTACTTTTATCTATTACCCTAGTATCTACAAACACTTGTTCATGTAATTCAAACGATAAAAAAATATTTCTACAATCATTAATAGCTCTGGTGTTTTCCTTGAAATTAAAATTAAAATCACCAACGACTACTGTTTTGGAGTCGAGGGGAATTTTTTTTGTTCTAATAGTGTATCTAGCATATTCACATATGTATCAGTGTCGCCATTTGATGAACGATAAGTGCCTACTACAACAATTTTACTTTGAGTTAACTGGCAACAAGCAAATTCAGCATTTAAATTACTACAAAGATCATTGATATCTATAGTGCCGCAGGGTATGTTATTTTTTTGCAAAGATACAGAATAGAAACAGAAATAAATAGAAATAGAATTTATTCATCTTTGAGAATTATACACTATACAAAGACACTAGGTACATAATGTAAAATCCTATCAGACTAGTCAAAAAAGTGTTAAGTAAAATACATTAAAAAATAAAATATATATAATAGACAATTCATGTTAAGATTAGTTTAAAAGTTCAAAAAATCTTCTATACTATAAAATACATTATTTACAAGAAAATCATTAAGATGTTTTCTTAAATCATTACGACTAATTTGTATCTTCAAATATGTTACTAAACTTATTGTAACACTTACAGAGGTTGATGGATGTTAAATTTTAATCTAGTATCATATGAGTGCAGGTCTTTATTTTTCTTAAATATAATATGCTCATTATCTTTTATGTGTAAAATTAGTTGAAAAATAAAAAGGGAAGGTAGTGTTAAAATTTGCATTTTCTTAAAAAGTTCTTTACATGATGTTGTTGGTGTCACCTTATACATGGCTCTCAGAACCTTCTTTTGAGATACAAAAGCTCTTTCAAAGTATGGTGAAGAACCCCAAAATATTAACTCATACTGTAGAGTTGAATGAACCAAACCAAAATAGCATAGTTTTAAAGTATCAAAAGATAGTGTCTCCCTTAAATTTTTGATGATATAACAACAAGTACTTAATTTTGAAGTTACCATTTTTATATGAGCTTCCCAATTTAATTTGGGATCTAATATTATTCCTAAAAATTTTATGTCATCAACGCTTTGAATAGTTTTTCCGTCAACGTGCAAGTAGGGTTCGTAATCTGGTAATATGTTTTTGGGTATAAATTGCATGAAGTTTGTTTTTGTTACATTTAATGCCAGACCGTTCTCTTTACAATACTGGTTAAACTCACGAGATGCCTCATTGCTACTTTGAGTAACCTGTTCAATTTGATCATCTGCCATTACAATATTGGTATCATCGGCATATTGAACTATTTGTTGAGAGCTTAAAGAAAAATTACTTATATCACTTATAAAAACTATAAAAAGAAGTGGGTCCAAAATTGAACCTTGGGGAACTCCTATTGTACATGGAAGAGGATCAGATTTTAGACTATTTGTTACAATTACTTGAGTTCGATTTATTAAGTAAGACTGTATCCATTCGTAAGGTTTCCCTCGTATTTCTAACCCATTCATCTTCAATAATAAAAGATTATGATCCACCATATTAAATGCACGGCTAAGGTCATAGAAGGGTCCCAAAATATATTTTTTATCATTGAGTGCTTGATATATAAACTCTAGGCAAGCTGCAATTGCAGTAGATGTTGACTTATTTTTTCTAAATCCATTTTGATGTTCTGGCAACATATTAAAATTTTCAAGGTAATTAGTGAGTCTAATAGAGTATGCTGACTCAAATATTTTAGTTATTTGACTAGATATACAGATTAAACGATAATTTTCTATATTAGATGCAGATCCCTTATATTTATAAACAGGAATTTCTTCATATTTGGGAATAATCTCGAAACAAAGGATTCATTAATCAAATGTGATATGGGTTCAGCAATACAATGAGCAACCGATAACAGAATTTTACCATTTATTTCGTCAATACCTTCAGTGGGTTTAGAAGTATTTTTTTTATTATAGTGATGATTTCTCTAGGAGTTGTTGGAAAAAGAAAAAACTTTTATGATGTTTATCAATACTCATAGTATAGTTAGGTACAATATTATTTTTATTTACATAAATAAAATAGTCATTGATATAATTTACTTTTTCTAAGGGTGTTAATTTGTCATAATTTGTAAGTTTAATAGGATTCAATAAGTTGTTTTTTCTTTTTCCCCTACTCTCGTTTATTATATTCCAGGATTCTTTCATTATGTTATTACTTTTTAAAATACGATCATTATTTTTTCTTCTCAAATATTGTTTTGTTATTTTTTAATACTCTTTTTTTAAATTATTGTAACGTTCTGTATAATATGTAGAATTTATTTCTTTCTTTAACCTGTTCATTTTACATAATAGATTATGTAACTCTTTAATATGAGGTGGAAACTGATTTTTTAATTTTTGTGGTCTTATCGCTTTCTTTGTTTTTGTAAATACAGTATTGTAGTGGTATAGGAATGATTCATAAAAGATAGAAAATGTATCATTAAAATTAGTAGATGTGTATACTTCACGCCAATTTTCAACTGATAAAATATTTATAAAAGTTATTGCGTTAGAATCACTTAAATCTTGTTTATATCTGTATTTAAATTCGTTATTTTCAAAATTAGGTAGTTTAATCGAACATAATAAGTAGTTATGATATGAAAAAAGTATCATATACACCCACCTTATCTACATCAAAATTGGTAAAAAAATTATCTAAATAAGTAGAGGTTGTACTTGTTGTTCTCGTTGCAACATTTATATGATGTTTAATATTAAATTCCTTCAATAAGTCAATTAAAACAGTTTTTTGATTACCTTCAATCAAAAAATCTACGTTAATATCACCACAGATAAAATAGTGATTGTCGTTTTGATAAATATTATGAATTAATAGCTCTAGCTGATTTATAAAAGTGCTAAACTTAGTACAAGATGGCTTATACACAGTAATAATAAATAAAAAAAGTTTAGAATCGATCTTTATTTTTCCACCACATACTTCAAATTCACCTTCTATACACCACTTATGTAAATTAATTGATTCAAAATTTGCGGCAATACTTGTTTTCATAAATATACTAGCACCACCTTTTTCTTTATTTATCCGTGAAAAATATGATACTAGCTTAAAATCGTCAATTGAGGTAGCTTGTAAATTGTTAGAATCAAGCCAATGTTCATAACACATCGAATACTTACATTTTGTTTCTGTAAAATTAAATTTGATCAAAGCATTTATTGGCAAAACCTCCCTGTATATTGATATGCATTAAAGTAATATTTAACTGTTGGGAACTGCAAAATAGTAATTCATTATTTTCTTTCAAAAAGTGGTTTTCCATAGTAGTCCTTGAGGTCCCTATTTTATCAGGTTTGAAGTAGAGACTAGGTTTGAACTCCACCATGTTCACAAGAATTCCTTACATAACTTGATATAACCTTGAAACCAGGAAACACGGCAAACTCCAGTTCAACGTGTTTAAGCCAAACCTCTACAAGAATAAGAATATCTACCTTAAGTTTTTGTACCAACAATTTCATTATATTAAATTTATTACTAATACTCCTTACATTAATATAGAAAATATTAAGAGTAGCCAAATTTTTTTAATTGATGAAAATAAGCCAAAGCTAGAAATATCGAGCGAATGTGGTGTAATGACTATTGATGCAAGGTATTGTGCTTTCAAGTCTCAATAATCTACTATAATATTTGTTGTTTTTCATTAATATGTTTAATTTTATCATAATAACATTTCTATTTATCTCATTAGATAAATTAGTTGGTACTAGGCCACACACATTAGGTAAATTAGTTTAAAATTTCAATTTTTTTTGTTTAATTTTTTGGTATTAATTTTAAAATAATGTCGCGAGTGAACTATCTTCAGTAACTATATTGATTACACATTTTAAGCAGTTCATAAATATATTTTTAGGTGAGACATGATGTAGAAGCAAGAAAAGTATGTTTCCTATGCTTGAAAACCAGATTCGGTATATTCGGACCATGGGGTCAGAGATGCACACTCTGCAAACGCACAGTATGCACTAGATGTTGTTCCAGAATGAACATTCCCATGGAACATTTCTCTAGTGTTCCCGTGGTATTACTTAGTCCCAGCATAATGTGTACACCTGAAGAAGAAACCAAAGAATCTATTGCAAGATCCATAGTCAATAAAATTTCCGATTCCAGTCACAGTTCCAAAGATGTCAGCCCCAGTTGTAGTCGACCGGGTTCAAGTATGGATTCTAAGTCGCCAAGTGAATCTGGTGCCTTGGGAAGGTTTCGTACAAGAGCTACAGCCGTAGGAAGGGTTTCGCGCGCTGCAGATAGGTAAATATGTTATCAATAATGATTAGTTTTAGGGCACCTTGTTATCCATTGTTTTTGGAGGTGAGTGGCAGGCAGTGATTAGAGTGTAGATCTTGTAATTATTTTTAAACTGGGCAAAAAATCACGTAACCTCTTGATCGTTGATTAAAATGGTACCTGAAACACTTCCTAGATGTCCTGGTATAGGATAATTTCGGAGGGCGGGGAGTCGTTTGAAATGCAACGTTACCAGATTTATTTAACGTAATTATGAGAGTTTTGTCTCAGTAACCTGGCCGTCTCGGAAGTCCGAAATGACCGTACTTAGGTTCTTTTTATATACAAATAAATTCTGTGTTAATATTAACTACCTATTCAAATTTTGATAAATTAGTTTTTACAGTCATTTTATTTACTTCGACTTCACTACCATGGTAATCAGTTAATAATAATACTGTCTGTTTATTTAAATAGCTCAAAATACACAAATGACACACCACAGCTTCTCTCTAGCATCAAAAAAATGGCGTCCGATCAATATTTGGTCGCAACCATCTATGTTATTCTGAAATACGAGTTATGCACCCCTTTCTGTTCTAATGTGTTGTGAATATTATTAAATAAAGACATAAATTGAATTAATTCTAACAATCTTTTTATAGGTACAAAAGTTCTCAGTTAATGGTCTGTCAAGATTGCAAAATGATGGTATTGCAAATTATTAAGTCAGCTAGAGTAAATCGATCAGCAATTAGGAACAAGACCATTCAAAGTCTGACTCTCAATTTATCACCCGTATTCTAAAATTCCCACGTATTTATATAATTATTGGTAACAATTAGAAAACGCCAAACACTTAGGTAAAATCGTTTAAATACAACAGTCAGAAAGGAACAAAAAAATAGCTAGGGCTGGGCAAATAACATAATAAATAATCGATTATGTTCGATTAATCGTATTTTATTAGATTAATTGATATATCGATATTATTTAAATGATTTTTAATCTTATATTCGATTGTTATTAATTTATCGATTATTAGTAAATATTGAATTATCGATAGGATTGGGAGATTATCAAAACAAGTAATCGATTATATAAATAATCGATTATTTTTGATAATTCAATTATTTGATTATTTTCGGTTAATCGATATCGATTTTTCTAAAAAATAATCGTTTATTTTGCCCAACACACTATAAGTGAAAGTAACTGTTGTTAGTTTTAATTTTTACCAATTTTTAATTAAAAATCATTCCGAAAACCCGAATATATTGACATAACGTAACCTAATTCATCATTAAATCACCAAACATAAGTAGAACTATTTCGCACACAAAATTCTACAGTGTGATTCAAATTTTCTGTCATATGTTTTTTATTGAAAGGTTAGATTGCATACAGGGTGTACCAATAAAAACTCCCAGGCCGGATATTTTGGAATCTAATAGAGATATTATAATTCTGTAAAAGCCAGTTCTTAGAGCGCTAAGAGAGCTTCAGTTTTAGATAAAAAATATTTTTTTTTTTTTTTCGTTGGGATGATCTTTCTTATATAGCGCGTCTTGTAAAAAATGCATTTTTAAGCAGATTTTGTGATTTTGTTCTATAAACTAATTCGATAAATCTAGCCATTTTTGATATACAGAGTGGGTCACTCAAAACAGTTTCATCCTGTTTTTCGGCATAAATCATTGGATTTTAAGAAAATGCTTAAACAGTTCGATTTTTATTGCAAATTAAAAACATTTTTACAATACAGACATCTGTCATGTGTCAGCCCCCTTCTTTGCACTTCACTAACTTCTTAATTTTAACTAAGGAATGTACCATGTACGGCACATCATTGAAAAGGTAATTTTGTGGGGAAGTCATAAATATGTTTATTGAGATACTTTTAATTTTAGCGCCCTCTATCGGGATAAAAAAACCTGTAACGTATTATAAAGTGTGACACTTCATTTGAAAGCTAATTTATTTACTAATTTATTTCTGAATTCCATATTAAATTACCTTTTCAATGATGTGCCATACATGGTACATTACCTATTTACAATTAAGATGTTGGTGAAGTGCAAGGGAGGGGGTTGACACATGACAGATGTCTGTATTGTAAAAATGTTTTTAATTTGGAATAAAAATCGACCTGTTTTAACATTTTCTTAAAATTCAATGATTAATGCTGAAAAACAGGATGAAACTGTTTTGAGTGACCCACTCTGTATATCAAAAATGGCTAGATTTATCGAATTAGGGTGAGATTACAGAACGTCTGCAACTTTGCAGATCTGCAAATATGACTGACTTATACATGCAAGTATCAAGTTTTCGTATTCCAAATTTGGGTTTAGTGTTGTTGGGGGTAATAAACCACAATAAATATTGCGAATTTGCAGATATTTTTTGGAATACTTGCATTTGTATGTCCGCCATATTTGCAGATCTGCAAAGTTGCAGACCTTCTGTAATCTCACCCTTAGTTCATAGAGCAAAATCTGCTTAAAAATGCATTTTTTACAAGATGCGCTACATAAGTAAGATCCTTCCATCGAAAAAAAATTATTGAGCGCAGCGCCATCTATATATTGACCCATTTAAAATTAATTTATATCTAAAATTAAAGCTCTCTTAGTGCTTTGTGAACTGGCTCTTGCAGAATTAAAATATCTCTATTACTTACCAAAATATCCAGCCTGGGAGTTTTTATTGGTACACCCTGTATACAGGGTGCCTCAAATCACCATCTTGTAAGGTATTTTCTTGTCTCTGACAAAATTTTATTTACTTGTGATGCCTTAAACTCGAAAAATAATTTAGCAACAAATTATTTAATGTAATTTACTCCACATCCTTTCGACCCTTCGTCAAAAGGACTCAGGCAACATTAGATGGAGATACAGATATTCCAAGGGTGAAAATAATAAATAGTTTGTGTCCACCCACATCTAAATAAATCAAATTAGTTTTTTAGCAGCCATAAGTTTGTTGAAGTCCTTCTGAAACCCTATATATCGAAGGATTGAAAAATGATCTAAACAATATATTTAATTTATGTTGATTAATTAATTCTAAAGTGAAAATTTGAATCATATCGTATTTCTATTCACTACTAAAAATAAATATGCTAAACAGGAGAGATATAGGCAATATCTATTTATAAAAAAATCTACAACAGAACTAAATTCGATGTTAACTTCCATTATGTGTGTTTTTTAAATTTTATGATATTGCAATATATAGTTTGTCCCAGTGATGTTTGAATAAATCTACCAACATATAATATCTTTGAAAAAAGGGAGTAAATTAAAAATTTGCAACGTTAAAGTTTAATGCTTTTTCCTGCATTTAATCAAGACACTTTTGATAGATTTATACACTTCAATTGCTTGGCAAAGTTATTATAAACTTTTAACTTTTAAAAACCTGGGATACGCTATTTATACGCTATCATAAAAATTTAACTAAAACTTGTAGATAAATAATTCTCATTGTTATGTGTGGTACTTTAGAATTTGAATTTAAAATTTCAGTAATATGATTATGATAAGTAAAGTTTTTCGTTTAGAGATTTGCAAATGAATGAATTACCTTATTAAAATAAATAAATTTGTCGAAAATTAGTGATAGTTCTAGATATTTCAAAATCTAGTTTTATATTTCGACTAAATTACCCTTAACGTTAAAATGTTTTAATTTTAATTTAGCGATTGTCTTAACAATATTAAATTGCACAATAATTTTTTATTTAATTAACCTCCTGATTATTCTAAACTAATTTTAAAGGCAGTCAATGGCTTTTTGTCCTTCTAGTTGGAAAAAATTATTGGTTATATCAAGAATATAAAAGTCTCTACATTCTATATTAATTACTATTAAATGGGTTATTCTGTGATTAAAAATTATTCAATACGTTTTAAATGGTATGATACGTTGTTAAATCGAATATTATTTTAATAAAAAAATTACCTAAAACGTATTGAAAATTGGTGTAATAAATAAAAGTCAAACGGATTTTTCTATCACCATGACAATATATTTTAGCACGCCCCCATCATGAAAAGATTTATCTGATTTTTATTGCTATCATTCTAGTTGGTAAAACATATACAGGGTGTTTCAGAGTAAAGTACGGTAAACTGGGGGATTTGCATATCTTAACTAATTATTAAGAAAAGCTAAATATCATTTTCCTGTAAACGTCCCAGTTTTTATTCTACAGGATGATAAAGTGAATTTAATAAATACATAATTTTCTAAATATCTATCCTTACGGTAAAGACTTTAACTTAAAAATATGTAGGGTTAACCGGGGGAACTGTAAACAGTTTTGATAAAGTAAGGTTCCCCCAGTCTTGACTTTAAAAGTATTAAATATAAAGTCATTTTAAATAGGCAGATATTCTAGGGTATATTCTACATAAATTTCAATTGCCAACTTGAAAAAATAAATTAAAAAAAAAAATAGTCAATGTTTACAATTCCCCAGATTTTTTTCGTTTTTGAGAATTTTGGGGTGATGGTAAAAAAAATTCGAGGTAAATGTAAACGAAATGATTCTTCTGTATTGACTCCTACATTCGAATAGGTGGGGTAATATCGAACAAATGATATTAAAATTAATTTGCATCAGTTCAAGTCGTAATTTGGTTGTTTACATTTGTCCCATGATAAAAATGAAAATTCTAAACAAAACTCTCTACCTTTAATGTTATTATTTATTTAAAGCGAAAAACAGTTTTCAAATATATAGCAGGTAAAAATGTAAACCTGCAAACATATAATAATATATCAAAATACATAATTATGGTTTTTCGAATTTACTTTCAGGCTGAGGAAGAATGGCTACAACCATGTCCATTTGTATGAAAGATTCCTCACTCTCATACTCTCATTAATATAAAAATCAGCGCAAACTTCATTGAGCGCTCGCAATCCCTCAATAGCAATTTCGTGATCTTCTTTGTCTTTCTCTTTAACTACAAAGATGTATTTGTAAGTAGTCGCTTTTCTAGCCCCTCCAACAAATTTAACCAGAAGAAAAACATCTGTCTTGATCTCTTCCCATTTGATTTATTTATAATTAACAGGCTTTGGTTGAACAAATGAGGAAAGTGGGAGCATGTCGTCATCAGAGTCATCATTTGTCAAATGAATTAAGCTAGCAACACTTTCCTCACTATCTGATGAAACAGTATTTCTTTGGTTTCTGCTTCTTTGTTTTCGATATCTTCATCTGCTTAAAATTATCGTCTTTTGTTTTTTTTGGAACAGATACTTACTCGTTTTCCTTTGGTCTGCTTAACTTTCTTTTTCTCTTCGGCTTCTTTGAGCTTGTTCATTACTTCTTCCGTCGTTAAAACTTCTCCATATCTGGATTGTTTTAATCGTGGAATAACTTTCTTATTCTCAGTACCACCCGATATTTTTGGAGAATTTTCAACACATTCATTCAATTTCTTGGAGAATAGATTAATGATACCATTGGGAGAAAGGTCTTTGGAATTTTTCTTTGCAATCTCAACTCTTGTGGTAGCATCCTGGTGTTCTGATTCAGGTAAATTAGAGTCACTTGTCAATATGGGTTTATCTGATTTCATCTGGTCATTTGGGCTCGTCGAGAGTCTACATAATGTCTCAGAAATGTGCCCCAGTTGATCATGTTGGCTTGACGAGGCTCCAGGTAATTCATCAGAAATGCTTCCTAATTCTTGGTTACTGGAAGTGCTTTGGTGTTCTCTATACTTTCGCAATAAATTTGGATCAAAATACTTTTCGGAAAATTTCAGAGAATCAACTGGAAAAACTCCAGTCGTTTCGAAGCCTGAAATTTTGTTTTCGGGGGTCATGCCTTGTTCCCAAACTTTTTTTAACAATTCTGAGAACTTACGTCTGGTAAAACGTCCACAAGACTTTCCCATTTCAGATTTTCCATGATCAACCAAGATTCCCAAGTCCCATTAAATTTTGATAAGTCCGAATACGCATTTATCTAGTGGTTATATCCTATTTGTTAGATGACTTGGGAACCTAAGTAATGAAATGTGTTCAAGCGCAGCATTCACTATCGGAACGCTGATATGGCTACTGTGGCCGTCGAATAACAAAAGAGCAGTCTGGTCAGGCACAACCCGTTCTTTTCGAACTCTGTTAGCATTTGATATGAATAAGGTTATGAACCATTGCTAAAAGTGGGGCTCTTCCATTTTTAGATGCTCCATATATTGTACCATGATACACATTTTCAGAGGTCCAACGGGCTTGGACAACACAATAAATGGAGGTAAAAATGATCCATCTGCAGCAATGCATGCTAAGACAGTAGTAGATTATCTCCCTGATCCTCCTGATACCCTAGACAATGGTACCCCCTTTTCACCTATAGCCCGAACTCTAGAAGGATCGCTGTTGAAGCCACTTTCATCAACATTAAATATAAAACATCCCTTATCGTCGCCAATGAGCCCACATTTTTGAACCAACTCACGTAGTTTTTCGTAAAAGTCATATACAACGAATGGATCTCTAGCATCTTTTCTTATTTTCTGAAGATGTTCTGGCTTCTTGAAAGCTAAAGTTGGATGTCGTTTCATAAAATTTGGATACCAATCATACCCAGGTATGTTATTTTTGGAGGGAGTTTTTAAGCCCTTAGATGTCACATACTCTCCAACTAAAGAGCATAATTCTTTGCGATCACAAGGGCAACCCATGCGCGACCGCGCTTTTAGGCAATTCTCAATCGCCATCTCAACATTTTCAGGCAACACAGAATAACGACCACCAGTTACCTTTAATGGATTTTTCCTCCCCTTGATACGATGATAAATTACGCAATGGGTGCAGGTAGCCTGGGCTTCTCTATAGCTTTTATTGTGGTTAACCACATCAAGTACTGCATTTATTAGATCTGCTTCAGAGTACCTCTGAGCAATAGGCTTTTTTCTTATATAATTTCGAACCATTTGTACCTGAAAATATATAAAAGTACATATTTATACATGTTCACATTTGTCCCAAGAGTTTGTTTACCTTTGCCCCTTCCTCAGAAAATTCAGGGCCAAATGTAAACACATCCATTAAAATAGAGTGCATTATAACCTAAGATTTGTGCATGCATAAAAACGTTGGATATGGCCTTAACAATAACTATATGCCATGAAAATCAACTTACCAGTTGAAAAACGGTTATCACACTGAATTTTTATTTATAATTCACAATCAAAATAATGAAGTATTTCGTTTTTATATCATAAATTAACAAAAAAAAAAACGATGCAACAGGCTACAAGGTTGACATGGGACTGAATAGAAGATGCGTGGTGCCATCTTGCACTGTGTAGAAGGAAACTATAATCCGCCAAATTCAAAAGTTATTGGTGTGTTTACAATAACCCCTTGTTTACAATTACCCCAGTTGACCCTACATTATTAAAAAAACATATTTTTATTAAGGGTCAATTTTATAATCAATATTAAAAGGTCCATTAAGTCCATAAAATCTTGGTCCTATTAGATAATGGACCTTTTAATACTCGGCCCTCAATAAAATTAAACATAGATTTCATGTTTCAGTAGGACTAAAACTAAAAAATCTCGGAAATAGAATGTTCTACAGAGATCATCCAAGAGTCCCTTATTTGTGACAAATTGAGTGAGGATAATTATTAATCTTAACTTTTATGAAATATAGGGTGTTCAAAAAGTTTTCATAACCCTTTATTCTACGCCAATGGGTTATCGTAATTTATCGAAATAAAGTGTGTTGACTAATAATGACGATTAACTAGCATATTCATATTTTTAAGTTAAAATTTTGACCGTAAGGGAAAATTATGCATTTATAAAATTCACTTTTATCACCCTGTAGAATGAAAACGTTTACAGGAAAATTATATTTAGCTTTTATTCTGAAACACCCTGTATATATCGAGATGAATAAAAGGTGATGGGTCATCGATATCTCTGTGATCATCATGTCAGTCTATTTTCGCGTTGATTATCATATTTATCTTTTTTGTTTTTATTTTTACATGTCTCTGTTTTTATGGGTTAGATTTTCTCCTCTATCCCCTTTAGACCACGTTTTCTTTAAATATTTTATATTTTTAGATCTTTGATCTCACACTTTTCATTGATAAATTGAAGAAATTATTATAAGCCTATAAACACTTTTCCATCTAAATAGAGGGATAAATAGCCACAGCCATTTACTTTAAATGTTATTTAAAACGAATTGTTAAAGTTTTTTAAGATAAAGAAAAAAGAAGAAGAAATAAATGTGGGCGAATATCTCGAAAATCAATTACTTTATAAGTTCCCTACAAAAGTACATAATTTAGTTAAAAAAAAAAAACATCAAAAAATGTAAAATTATAGTCCAAATAAGTTTTTGGACAGTAGTGTAAAATTTAGAGAGTATGAAGGTATTACTTACCCATGTCACACGCCACTGGCAAAGTTTATTTATCTGATTTTTTTTGCTGAATTTAGTACAATTATACTGAGTGATAAAACAATTAAAACCGTTAATTTTTTGCCAATTTAACACCCTGTATTTCGGAAACAAGTAACATTTTACCTAAGCATGTAATCGTCTTATTTTTAAGCAGTTGTTCTGTGTCCCATTCTTAATAATTATGTAAAAAAATTTAAATTCGTTTAACAATCTCGGAGTATTCTTTTTTTTATATTTAAAAGAACTTCATCAATATTTTTCTAAAATTAAATATTTTTTATTTCGTATGCTTACAGAATTTTAAATACGAAAAAGAAACAAAGTAATTCAATTTCATTATTTGATAAGGAATGTCTGATGATACTTTTAAGTTTCCTATTTATTGGAATATAAGATGTTGATTGTCAAAAAAAAAATAACACCTTGAATTATTATTTTTAATTACCTACATATTCTTGTTGGAGTAAAATCGTTAAATTCTTTATAATTTATCATGTATACATTTTAAGTTTTCTTTCAAAAGTGCCTGTAGTGTCAATTTCTTTTGTGTTTATTCTTAACACCTCAAATATATGTAATAATGTGATAGTGTATTTGATATTTTGTTAGGAAATTATCTATATAGAGTACTTCTAATTTATTTTTATATTATTACCCTAAAAATAGATATTATATTTTTTCTGAACATTTATATCTTTAAATTTTATTTGAATTGTAAATTGTGAGCAAGTACTTTTAAAACTGCTTATTAACGCCGTTATATTTATTATACATAAACACACACGCAAGTCCTGAAGGTTCCATCTTGTATACAGTGTCGACCACTGAATGTTTTTCAATACATTTTGCTCAAGTGCATGTGAAAACTACGGAGTAAGCAGTAGACAAGCAGGAAACGAATAATATCAGCGTTGCCCGTTTGTACGGCCCGACCACGTTGTAACGTTGGTCTGTCTATGAAGGCTATTCCATGAGCCTGTTTTGGGGCGCTTCCCCAATAGTTAATATGTTGTTCCCGAATCCAGTCGTTTATGAAACCCCGGACTGTACTTTTTGGTACTCCTAGGTTTGTGTCTGGTTCCGGGTTTCTTCTGACCCTCTTTTTGCAAGTTCGTTAGCCTTTTCGTCGCCTTCGATCCCTTGGTGACCTGGCACCCAAAATAGTTTTACTCTACTTCGGTCTGCCAGTGTTCTTAGTTCTTCGATGCATTCCCATGGGGGGGTTTACTCACTTATTGGATACAATTCGGAATGAATTAACGGCCTTTTGTTATTTTTGAATTTTTTTAAAAAGAGGTATTTCAAAAAGTTGTTTATTTTATGGACTTCTATACACAATTAAAAAAAAGGTATCAACTTTGGATTCACTCTGTATAATTCTTAAATACTCAAATTATGTTTTGGAGTTTATCCTGGCTAGACCATATTTCTCCATAATTATTTTTAAAATGAAAATAAAAATGTAAACATAGATTCGGTACATTTATTATTTAAGATAATAAAGTCTTGCTCTACAATTTAAAGTATTTTAGAAATAGTGTGCGGGTAAAGTCAAAATCTGGATGTATCGTGGAAAAATTGTACATATCTCAAAAACTACTGGATATATTTTTGAGGTATGGATGAGAGCTAGTATTGTAAAATAAATAAATAGAATGAATTAGATTAATTGGAATCAAAGCAATCAAATGATATTAATTTTAACAAATGGAAATATATACGTATGAAACAATTGAAGATGTGTGTGCGAAAATATATAATTTTATTTATTTATTATAGGAATCTTCATAAATGAATGTATATGGTTTGACAATTTAAAGCCTAACATGGTACATTTATGGAAACACTTAGATCAAAGAAATATAACTAAAAATATAATATTAAATACCGTTTAGTTTTCCTTTGATCCTGGTAAGCATTTGTCAATACAGCATTAAGAAAAAATAATAATTAGATTTTATTTTGGTTTGTTTTTTATATACCCACAATGTTAGACCAATTCAGTAGAAGCTCTTAGACATGTGTCTTGAAACAGCTTTTGGCTTCCGAACTACGTGACTTACAAATTTGTAAAAATGAGTTTATATACAAAAAAAAAAAACAGAAACAAAACATTCATGATTGGAAAAAATTAATAACTATCTATACACGGTGTTCCAAATTTTAATTCAAAGTATTGGAATTTTTACGTAAACAGATTCTTAGTTTAAATTTTAAAATTTTTGCTAGTTTTTTGTCATTTTCTTCCTTTTCATATTATAGTGTTGGTTGTGAAGAAAAAGCATTTCTCTGTAGGCACTTTTTCATCCATACAATATGGCATCGTTTGTTTTGAGCACGACGTTTCGTTTTTTTTGAACCATCATCTTCCTTTTTTTATGAATACATAACTAATGTTTTTTATACCGATTTCAATTGGAAAAATATGCTGTTTACAACTATGTGCCACATTTTATCATTTTACGACGTTTCGAGTCTTAAAATCATCAGTTTTAAATTTAAAATAAGCTACATCCTGGACCTGCAATTAAAAAATAGACTATTCCTAACAAAAATCTTTACTTTTAAAGATAGTAAATAGATTAAAACAAGAGAATAATAATAAAAGCACTTTATTGTTTATGAATATTACAACCAAATGGCCATCGACCTAGGTCCTTCAGCCAGTACAATATGTATAGGATGTATGAGGATTTACAAGCTATATGTGTAAGATGAATACGAATATAAAGATACTTAAAAAAAACAATATGTGTCACTAATTATTGTTCATCGGCAAATTCGTTTAAGATTTCTGTTATTGAACTCACTGGGTATTTAAACTTTGCTTGACCAATTTGTCGTTGCATCGAAAAAATGTTTATTTTCTAATTCTTTCCAGGATATACTGAATCTTAGTTTTTTCGTAAAGATATTCATTCGCTGGATGGTGAGTGGGGTTTTCAGGATGTATCATCTTGGTAATGATTCTTAGTGTAGAAGTTTCGGCCACCTGAATGTTTTTTAATGCAGGTTTTCGGCAGTTTAAATATATAGTGTGGCCGTATTCCAGGAGAGGTCTGCAAATTGGTTTGTAGATTTTAGTGACCGTGTAGATGTTGATACCTTCTTTTTTGTATGTTAAAGAGCGGAAACGATTGGCTCTGGTTTTGATTTTTTTTTGTCTGCGGGTGTGTTCATTGAAGTTCAGCTTATTATCAATAATAAGGCCTAGGTATTTCACTGAGGATACAGGATATATTGGTTGGTTAGATATGATGAGTGTAAGTGATGTCGGTCTTAGATCATGATAGGGTATCATTAATTGACATTTTTGTGGGTTAACTTGTAATCTCCATTTATTGAGCCATTGCACAACTTCGTTTTATTGATTTTGTAGTGCTGTGATGGTTTGATTCAGCGTAGTTCCTGCGATATCAAGGCCGTGTCATCTGCGTATTGGAGTGTGTAATTTATTGCATTGAGGTGTAACTGACCTGAAGGAAAATCAAAGCAATATATGTTGTAAAGGAGCGGAGATAGGCGACCCTTGCGGTGTAAAACAAGAGAAATAATTTTCTACTAATTAAAAATGTAAATCTTTAAAAAAAATGCAGGTTCGGATTTTGCTTATTTTAAATTGATATTTGGCTCGAAACGTCGTAAAATGATAAAATGTGACACACACACAGTTGTAAAGTAGGCCTTTTCCACTGTTGCCAACAGTAGCCGAATCCCGATGCTTCAGCGGATTTTTAGACCTTGTAGCAGTTGAAAGACCTTTTTTTAAGTAGCGAAACTTGTGTCTACAAATATGTAATCATGCTAAGGATTTTTATAAAACCGATTTAATTATATTGATTTGTCAATGTTTTTTAAATCAGTTGACAACATTGGCATCATGTTCACTTATTGTCACTGATAGTTTTATTTGTAATAATTCGAAATTTGTGGGTATTAAATTTGCTTAATTCTTGTAGTGTGTGTTTAAAAATGAAATTTACCAGCCAAATGCAAATTTTTAACAAATTTAATCTTAAACACATGATATCCTGTTATAGAGCTTGATTTTTACATAAAATGACATGTTGATAACTTTATATAATTTTTCCTTTTTGAGTTTTTTAATATTTTAACCCCCTCAGCCCCTCATTCAGAGTTTTTCAGAATCAATGGGCTTTATCCCCTCACAGAGCTTGATTTTTACAAAAATATCATGTTGATATCGTTTTTCGTTTTTGATTTATAATTTTTTTTATTTTCAACCCCCTTTAAACCCCTCATTTTAATCAGATTTTTTCAAAATCAATAGGCTTGGTCTCCTTATAGAGCTTGATTTTTCCCGAAAATTTTGACTTGATATCACTATTTGTTTTTAATATATGATATTTTTAAATTTCAATCCCCCTTAACCATCCATTTTTAAACAGATTTTTTAAATCAATATGCTTCGTCCCCTTATATAGGTTTTCTAAAAATTTTTCGTTTTTCAGAACTATAATACTCTTCACATATTACTGTGTGAAGTATAATAAACACCGAATGAAACTCAAAAACACTATTATAATGAGAATATTATCCAAAAACAATTAAAAAATCAAAAATATAAAAGCCCGCCACAAAACTGATAATGTAAATAAACAAAAAAAAAAGCCTACTTACAGCTGACAAATGACAGGCGCGTGAAAATTAATATAATAATAATAATAATCATTTATTTCTGTAGACCTGAATACATAGGTATAGTAAACGTCACACAAAATGTACAAACAAGACAAAAATGTATGAGTAAAAACAAACTTATACATAATTCGTTACAAACAATACATTTAAAACATTTAAGAAATTATAACAAAACATTTAAGTAAAATTGCAGTTGAGGTATTCCTCAACACTATAAAAAGTGTGATCTAGTAAGACCTCTGTTACTTGGGTTTTGAAAGCTTTAACATCATTTATGCATTTTATGTTATCCGGAAGTTTATTGTAAAGCTTGATTGCTGTAATTAGAGGTCCTTTACTTGCCATAACTAATTTATGTCTAGGTATAACGAGATTTTGTGAATTAAATCGTGAATTAAAATCGGTATAAAAAACAGGTCCGTATTTAAAAAAAAATATTGATGATGGGCCCAAAAAACGAAACGTCGTACTCAAAAACAAATTATGCCATATTGTACTTTCAGTCTTTTGTGACCTCTACAAGCAACACTATAATACGAAAAGAAAGAAAATGGCGTTTTTTTGACACTTCTCAAAAACTAGCAAAAATTTTGAAGATGGATCTAAACTAAAAATCTGTAAATGTAAAACTTCTCTTAGTTAACCAAAGTTATAACTCTTATAGTTACCGAAATGTATACATTGAGCTAAAATTTGGAAAAACCTTTATATATAAACTCACTTTAATTTCATGTATTCTATGCAGTACAAACTATTTTAATTTAATTATTAAATATTTTTTATTAGTCGTATAACATAGTATAATTAAAAAAAAAAAAAAAATAGCAATACAATAATTCTCATTTTATTTCTATTATTTTTAAGATTAAATTAATTTAAACAGAAAGAGATGTTACGTGACAAGCTCGTGTTCCGTTTGACCTTGATTACATCCCATCCCATATAGCACAAACACATTTCGGAAATATTTCAACAATGTTACTTTGAAACATTTGCAATGTTGTATAAATATTACGAAACATCCCAGAAATATTTCTGAAATATGCCTGAAACGTAAAAAAATGTCCTTTAAATATAATATTTCACAGTAATATTTCTGAAATGAAAATTATAAATCTTTTAGAAATATTAAATAGTAATATTTCAGAAATGTATTCTAGTTTTTTTCTACATGTTTATTTAAAATACACAAAACTCAAACATTGATTCTTAAACAAACAAATAAATATGTTTTAAAGAATATTTCATAAAATATAGAAGTGAATTGCTTCATTTCCACCAATTCCTTTAAATGCACTAATTTGAAACAACTAGTAGTAAAGAAACATTTACGATTATTATGATCTAATCATTAAGATCAATTAGCAATTTTATTTTATAACTTATCTAGGGATGAAAAATGTCCTAAACTAAGATTCTACTCACTATATAGAGTACTTTAGAATCTAATTATTTAGTTACACTACCGTTAGCGTATAACATTTTTTAACCACACTATACTCTGTTTTAATCTAACATCACTGAAGTAACTCAAAAGGCCTGGTTCTTTGGAGTCTTCTTATTAGATTGGGATTCTTGAGGAACTGGATAATCTTAAGGTTTCCATGTTAGAGCAGTCGTTGTTGGTAACTACTGGCAAATTTTTGTATTGTATTTTCAACAGTCTCCACTTTAAGGTCCCTATGAAGATCAGTATTACGGCAGTATCAGAATGCGTCGACGATGTTCCTTAATACTTTATTCTGGAAACTTTGAATAACTTGGATGTTATTTTTATTGGCACAGCCCCAAAGCTGGCAAATTGCTTCATTTCCATCAATTTCTTTAAATGCACTAATCTGAAACAAAATATAGGTAATTAAAAAGGATTTATACAAATTATTTGATTAACAATAGTTTTATTAATATTATTTTAAATTAACTATAATAAAACAATACTCATGTCTAAACAAAACATGAAGATCCACCTAAGCAAGCATTATTTATGTAGTTCTCACCGTAATTTCAAAAGACATATTCTGCTTCCCATATAACAAGTTCACAACGCATGAATATCAAAAACCAACAACTCAAATCTATAATCATTTAATTTTCCGAACTTGGCGTCCAAATTTGTAGGGGTGGTAGTTCGCATAATTTGAGACCGATTCGCAGATTTCATTTTTTCAAAATATTTAAAATAAAAATAATTAAAAATTTTAAACAGGTACGGTCCTGCACAACGATGGGATTGCCTCGACTCGCGCGCGCTACGATCGCACTAGAAAAACAATCGGCTACGTCTTTCGATACCGGCCGGGTGGAGAGAGAAATTTCCAAATCGCATCTGTTTTTGAGTTGTAAATCCCGATAAGTAACCGATCAGGCGACTATTGCGCTACGCGCTCAGGGTAGGACCTGCTTTTTGATTTTTTTTTATAATGGCTCTATTTTGTTTATTATAATTTTTTTAGAAAAATGAAATCTGCCAATCGCTCTCAAATTATGCGAACTACCACCCCTACAAATTTGGACGCCAAGTTCGGAAACACCCTGTATAGGCTTGTTTCTAGCTGGTGACTGGACAGGGACATGATAACATAACTACATATCCCATCTTATTCTTACAAATCGGAAATTCTTCATTAATTGTTGACCTTTTACGACATAACCCGTTTAGTAGCCTTTTGTGTAACATGTATACCATGTTTCAGAAACATTTTCAGTGAAATATTTAACTAAAATATTTCAGAAACCTGTGATTGAAATGTTATATATTTGAAACGTTTGAAATATTTCTGAAATAATGTGTGCTCTATGGGAATAACCAGTCAGCATAACGCTGGGGTGTTTACATAATTCATATTGTATAAAATTTACTTAAAAAGTACTTAAATCTACATCTGTTAAACATAATTTTACCTGAGCTTACGAGGCGCAATACACCTTTTCTATTAAATTATTTTTATTTGTGTAATATTATTGCTTATTGTATTATATTTTTGTATACTATGTTATATGATGTTTAATTTTTAAGAAACAACATTTATTATTACATTTTAGTTTATTTTTAAGAAGTTATTATATTTTTATAGAATATTTTTTGCATTCCTAGAATTTGTGATAAAACCTAGAAAATCTAAAAGTTATCAATCACCAAAGAAATTTATCTCTAAATAGTAGACTATAATGTAGATTAGACAATTATATTTTCTTTCTAATTGTTATAAGCAGAATTATGCATTATTTTAAAAAATTAAACCACTTATACAAAACCCAAATTCTATAGTGATATTAGATTATTTTATTTTTCATATTGTTTACAAATTATCCCACTTATTTTATGTGATTTTTTTTTTAATTTATTATAAATATGTGTATGTGTATAGCCCTTAAAGAAAGAGCAAATTTATTTTATTTTGATAAATGTAAGTTCATGTAAATTTAACTTCTAAAAATATAATGGAAAATAAAAGCTATATTGAACGTTATAAAAGTTGTTTTATTTAAAATATATCAGAACAAATAGAAAATAATTGCAATTACATCTATTTGACTATAGTGAAAACATGTTGAAATTCACTGGTGGACGTGATTGAATCCATGCTTTAATATTTGGTATTTCACATACTGTTTGATTCAATTTTTTTAAGGTTGGAGCCTCGGCAATGATATCCTTGTTTACTAGCCAATTAAAGTAGTCCAAGAAGGATACGAAAAATAGATCAGCCCAAGTCAACTGAAATACATAAAAAATAGGTCAAAAATCTGATAATGTTACAAAAAATAAACGAATACTTTAAAGAGTAATAATATACAGCGTAAATAAAATTAAATTATAATTACAAACCTATAGCTCAAAACGTATATTTTTATTCTAATTATTAGAGAGTTATTGCAAGCTCACTTAAGGTCAGTCACTATTAGCGCCGCTCTTATTTTGACATCTGAGCATGCGCAGATCATTTACATTCTAGAACTGACTTTAATAAAGATTGTGCATGTCCTTAATTGTGGATGTTTAAGGACAGCAGATAGCGACTTTATAGTTTTCGGGTGTGCTCGCCAACATTCGTATCAGTTTTTTAATATTAAATATTTAATATCATCGTCATCTAAACCTTCTAAAATTGTAATTTCTAATGCCTCTTACATATTATGTACTATTATAAACAACAAAAAAGATGAACTATAGTTTAAAGTTTTAGGTTTGCAATAAGTCTTATATTGGCATGGAATTTAGTTACCTCTAATTACGTTGTCACTATTACTGGCTGACGTTATACAAATTTGCAATATCTCTCTAATAGCCAATATAAGATGTTTTCTAAAATGAGTTCTCTTTTTAAATCTATAAAATTGTTCACTTGCTAAGTGCGTGCCTGAAAAATACAGCAAAAAAGTATTTGTTTTCAGTTATCTTGATTAGTTATCATTCGTGTAATTCTTGTAAAGCATAATTTTTGCATATAATCTAGGGAACAAGAATAAAAATTGTTATAACTTTTTGGAGACACCACATATTTCCTTAAAAATTTGTGTGGCTATTGATGATACTAACGTTCGTTTAACACTACCAACAAAAAACAAAATTTTACAAGAACAAAAATTATTTCAACAATTATAGAAAAAAAAAATAAAAATCTCAATAACTTGATATGCAAGAAATCTCACAAAAACAAAATTCTCGATTGTTTGTGCTCTATCAATAAGCAGTGTAACCTCCCCATTCATTAATTACAGCTCGACATCTGTTGGGCATGCTGAAAATGAGATTGTTAATTTTCATTTGGTCTGTAGTATTCCATAGGTCAGAAAGACAATTAAAGAGCTTCCCTTGTGTCAAACTGCCTTTGTTGACGAAGAAGTCTTCGTCCCATTGAATCCCACAAATGTTCAATGGGATTAAGGTCTGGTAACTGCGCAGGCCATGGCAAAACATTGATATGCTCAGTTTCTAGAAATTCACGCACGAGCCGTGCTGTATGTGGACGGGCATTGTCGTGCATTAGCTGGAAATTCGGACCAAATTCTGCAGCATATGGAAGCACAACAGGTTCCAAAATACTATCACGATAACTGGTAGCATTCAAAAAGCCGTCTAATAAAACGAGGTCAGTCCTTCCTCCGACACGCATACCCCCCACACCATTATTGTACCACCCTGATAGCTGTAGACTTCCTGGGCTGCGGTAAGACGTTCCAGATTTCTAGGTCGTCTCCACACACGAAGTCGACGGGAATCCGGATGAAAACCGAATCGGGATTCGTCTGTAAAAAGTACCGTAGACCATTCTTGATGTCCCCAGTGTTGATGTTCTTGTGCCCATCGCAGTCTTTGTGCGCGATTACCTCTTGTTAACGGGGGAACACGGAGCGGTCTGCGAGCATAAAGGTTGAACTGGTGCAACCTGTTTCTCACAGTCTGGCTGCTCACAGAAATATGGTGTGTACGCTATAACTGTTTTGCATTAGCGTCTATTTCTTGTGCTCTACAAATGAACCTGCTTCTGTGGCGCCATCTAGTGAAGTGATAACGACAGCTGTTCAGTTCGTTCGTGCTTGTTAATTTGTTATGTGCTATGAAAAATAAAAAATGCCCGTTATGTATTGAGTCGTTCACTTCCAATATTGTATATTCTTTGATCTGTGTCAGTTGGCCGGGAAGCGAGTTTTTCAAATAATTAAAAATATATTAGCTCCTCTTTCACCTACATTAGCAGCTGTAAATTCGTCCAGCAATTCATTCGCATCAACAACTTCCTGTATTAGAACTCCACATAATAAGAAAATTACGCCACAGAGATCACTCTTTTCAACAAAAAAGAAAAGTTGCAAAAAGACGAAAAATTGGACGCGCCTTGCAGAAGATGATGCATTAAATTTACTATTTATGTCAAATAAATAAAGAATGAATTAAATTAAATTTTTTAACGAATTCTCAAACTTATAGTTTTGGTAACATCTACCCATCTACAATTTCTCATTTTCTCAAAAATAGAAGAACGAAGGTAGGTATCTAAAATTATTATTATTACCTACGTATATTGGCAGTTTTATGTGCAAAAAAACATGTCATAATGATTTAGTGATAGTGTAGTAATAAAACAAATTCGGGGCAATTTGATCATACTTCAGGAAATGCATCGACCGATATATCTCAGAAACTGGATTTCCCAGAAACTGAATAAAGGAAAAATTTGGAAACTTGCTAGATATCTTGGGGCCTTTTCAGCTATTGGGTCCTTCTGGTTATACCGGAAATAGATCTTAAGCAGCTTAAATACGACACCGTATATATTATTACATTTAAAAATTCTATTCAAAGGCAGATTTTACGTATCATGTCCTTAGTCTAAGCGTTTTTAACATAAAAAGAAATATGTTTTCAAAACCATTGAAATGATCTGACATTTTTATTTCTAGATTCTATAAATGCTTAAATAAAAAAAATAAAGTATAATTACAAGTTGCCGAAAACATTTTTTTATTTTGATTAATTTTTTGCGAATGTTTTATGCTGAGCAATAGCAAAATAACTGTAAATGCCCTTCCCACTCTCAATTCCAGATTCACTAATTGCACTGTTTAAATATGTATTACATAATGGTGTTTTTTTTGTGTCATCAATTAGCTTCGTGTTCGGTGTAGGCTATGTTACTATTTCCGAGCGCCACTTTAGAAACGGCACTGTTAATTGAAACCCAAGAGTGAATGGCCGAGTGGAGAATCCTACCTATGCATGAGAAATAATATATATTTTTTAAATTAAATAAAAATTATTGCCACCAGTGAGATTCGATCCTGAGGTCTTTAGATCTCAAAATCATGACTAACCACTGAGCCTAGGAATTAATAATGGATAGCTAAAAGAATTATATTTTCTTTTTTTATTTTTAATTTTTAGTTTTAAGAAATATTTTGATTCAAATTATTACTACCTATCCTGTCTACCCCTGTGAGAGCAGCATTACCGTACTGCTGGCAGCCTTTAAAACTCGGATCGGTAAAATATCGATATTTTACTGTATCGATACTTGACGTTCCGATCCGTATCGATACTTTTAAGTGTATCGCGCATCCCTACTCAACACGTAACGAATAGAACAGAGAGAGACTTACATAAGAATCGCATTCTGTGGAACGAAGATAGGCGTCTCAACACGTGCCGTATTGAACGATGAGAATTCCAATGCAGAGTTATGCGTAGTTATCAAAGACATAATCGTGTTTCTGTTTTCGTCACTCATTGTCTACTTTTAAAACATTTTTATTGACTTCGAAAAGAGAATAAAGATTTGCAACATTCTAAATTGATGATATAATGATGTTTCGTATAGAAATTAAATATAACCTTTTCAGCAGCTAAATATCCTCGGTTTCTTTTAGCTTGTGCCTCCAATCTTTCTAGGTAGAACGGTAGAGTTACATTAAAAAGTGGTCCTTTTTTATTTTCTTTGATAATTGGGTCCTTTTCATACTTATATGCAACAAGTACTAAAATTCAAAAATGACTCATTATAATATTTTTACAGTAGTTGCACAAAATTAACTGGAAAGAAGGTATATAATGCTTGGCATTCTATTGTAACAACCAGTTAGTTTAAGGACCATTTTTGCTAAGTCCTTAACTACTTGTCGTCATTATACTATTAAGGGATAAATGCAGCACCGTCACCAGCCCTAGGGTCCTGGAGTCCTGAAGGAACATCCATTCGCCAGTGGCAAAAGAAAATAAAAAAATAATAAAATACAAACAAAACGTCCCTTAATAGCATATGTCGAGCGGTTTTGGCAACTGACTTAAGACTCTCTATTTATATCAACATTTACGTGATTATTTTAAAAGAACCTCGACTTATTTACCTTAGAGATTATTCACACGATTTGTCCTTTAATTTACGCTGTTGCTAGGTACACGCTAAAGTGTACAGAAATCAAAAAATTATATACACGCGAAACGTCATATTGCTGTGGTGGGAGGTGTTGGTGTGAATGCGTCTTATTTGTTTTCATTTACGACGTGACTAGCACAGTAGTATTTTATAAACCGTAGAAGCAAATTTCACATACATGAACAAATAATAATAATGCCGTGACAACAAGAAAAAGAAATAACGACTTCTCGTAAGGTGGCGGCTTCGCCGCCACAAAAAAATTTCAATCCATGCCTAGCTACGACCGGCGTAAACACCAACGGCCTGCACACAGCTCACCTACTCTGTCAAGACGTTTCGCGTGTATATAAATTTTTGAATTGCGTACAAGTTAGCGTGTACCTAGACACTGTTTAATTTACTAGTACAATGAACTATTTCTAATTGTTTGGTTTTAATAAGTATGTTGTGTTAATTTAATAGATATTAAAAATATTAGATATTTTTGGGATTTTTATTAAATATTTTATATTTTAAAAATAATAATGCCAATTATTACACTATATTATATTCTTCACAGTTTAACAGACCCCCCTTAACAACCCATTTTTAATTAGATTTCTTTCAGAATCAATAGGATTCATCCCCTTATAGAGCTTGATTTCCTGAAGATTCCAAATTCATATCGTTTTTTGTTTCCGAGTTAAGATTTTTTTATTTTTTCAACCCCACTTAATCCTCCATTTTTACTAAAAATTTCATGTTTCTATCGGTTTTCGTTCTTATAATTTATGATTTTTTTTTAAATTTTAACTCCCATTAACCCCTCACGTGTATTCATAAGCCTCGTCCCCCTATAGAGCTTGATTTTTACCTAAAAATTTCAAGTTTTTATTATTTTTCGTTTTTGACTTGAAAAACCGTGACATCGGACGGACGGACACTTTTAAAAGTTGTTTAAAGTTTGATGAAAATGATTTTGAAACAAGAAATTTTTAATTTTGATAAATATTAAAAATTTTAGTTTCCCTAAATTGAACCTATAATAGGTAGAATCTTTACAGACTACTCCGTGAAGAGTATGATAAGCACAACTAATGAAAAATTATAGTTAGTGTAATTTGTGAAGTTCCCAGGTATAATTTCTTTCAATTATTAATCCATATCTTAATTTTTAATACAGTGTGTGTCATCGAGAAAGGTGAAAATATTCCGAGAGGTCGAAGTAATCATTAAAGTATGAAAAAAAGAACATGTGTCTGAAAATGCATATTAAGGTAGAGATATAGGCTTTAGAAATGTTTTATCAAAATTTCCAAAATGATGTAGATTTTACCCCTAAATCTGCTGGCGATGTCAACAAATTAATAGTTTACAATATATAGGTTAAATGATCCAGACTTTTCTTCCACTCTGTAATACAAATACCACAGGTTTTCAGAAATTTACAAAATTTTGGATTTGGGGTTTTATAGGGGCATGCCAATTATTACTGTTTTTATTTGAACTTTTACAAGATTGACGGTTTTTCAGATGTTTTCGTTTTTTTAAATTCACAATAAAATTTAAAAAATAATATAATCTCAAATGTGACATACCGTTGAACTGGAATTAAAGAGTAAAATAAAAAATGAAACAATATATAGGGTGTTGCCTTTTTAAAACCCAAGTGACCAAACGGTGAATCTCTGGTAAAATGCAAATAACAAAACAAGAAATGCATGTTCCACTCTGTATATACTATGGGTATTTTTCTTTAAAATTGTAACTAGTTCAAAATTTTCGTCCTTCTTTCATATTTTAATTTTATTTTTTATAATAATTATTATTATTATTAAAAGAACACAGTACGCTTACCTAATCGCAAATCAGTAATAGTATCAACAGCAGCGTCAATTTCTAAATTTTCCCAATCATTGTTTCCTGTGAGATTGACTTGCTTGGCTAAATATCTTGCAATTGCTACACTTTGGTGAGCGAGTTTTCCGTCGTATTCTAAAGATGGCATTTGACCAAAAGGCATTGCTAAAAATGTATAATAATAATTATATCGTAACTTACCTCTAAAAATAAAAATTCATATTTCATTTATTAAATAAGCTGAACTTGCTATGTTTTAAGTTAACCCATTGTCTAAGTTGGATACGTTTATCTACCCAATCCAGGTTTCCATAACTTAAAAGGAATCTCAATGCTTCACCAACGGCAGGAGCATCAAAATATGTTAAAATATAATTTTGATTAATCTAAAACACCATTTAATAAAAAAGTATAATGATAATTTATGATTTTTTGTTACCTTATTATGTTCACTGGTTTTTGTTATTGTACCAAAAACAACCGCAAAAATAGATGTTCCAAAAATGAAGATATTGAACTTATTCATTGTAAATTGTTAGATCTTGTTGAATTATTAGAGTCGGTCAAAAAACTAATTGATTAAATATATGCAAATATTTTTTTTAAAAATTTCGGGATTAAATAACAATTTAAAGATAACTTAAAGGTTGAATCTCTTGATAAAGATTATATGACAAATCGACATTTTTTATACAGAAATAATTTTATTTATTTATAAAATTAGTTTTATTATCAATTATTCATGTTTTAATGAGGCCATATGTCACATCGAATCGAAAGATAACCCAGCAAACAGTGGCGACTGGTGGATAAGTGTTGTAGAGCTGCAGATCTGCAAAAAATCTCATTTACATCTCACAGACATTATTACAAAAATTCTATATACATAAAATAAAATTTATGAATTATCTCATTAATTTTATTTATTAAAAAGTATACATAGCGTGCGAACGTATCTTACTCTCATTTCATAACTGAGAATAAGTCCAGATGAGCGGACCAGTGGAAGGCTTAACAAAAGCTCGCCAGGTATTCATCTCTTATCTGGGTCTTTCCAGGACGGTCTGTGTACCTCTTTGACCACCCACGCTCATCTCATATCTCCTCGCGGCTCTATAAATTAACGCCAAGACACGTATAGTGTTTTATCTGCATTTTTGCCACATCGGCGAGCTTTGTTTATAGTCTGTCGCATATGTGGATTCGATATGGATTTTGTAGATTATTTGCTTGTGATAATATGGCAGCGTGCGTTTCCATTGTACATGAAAGACATGGATGTAGCTTATAAGTTAATAAACGAAAACAGAATTTTTAAATACGGGTATGAAATATAAGTTTGCTGCTAAAATAGACCCCAGAATAGAATTAACGTATAAAAAATAGGTGAATAAAAGCTCTAAAATAATAATTGCTTTTTTGGGGGCGAGGAGGCAGAATCTTACAGAGGTAATGTGTTTAATCACCCAGACAACACACCAAATCCCAGAGATATCCACAGAATATCTATCATGGATATCCAATATATCTACAGGATATCAGAAATATCCCGTGTATCTAATAATATGGATATCCAAATGTCCGTCTATATCCACAATATATAAGATATCCTATGGATATCCAGCAAAATATCTGGGTATCTCCCAGTCAATACAAGAAATCCCAGAGATATCCACAGAATATATTTTTTGGATATCCAATATATCCACAAGATATTTTATAGATATCCAGTGGATCTAATATGGATATCCAAATGTCCGTCTATATCCAGGATATAGAAGATATTCAATGGATATACAGCAAAATATTTGATGGGTATCTTAAGTAGAGGTTCATAAGTAACCAATAGATAACAAAAGGAAATAATTCCAAACTCAAATGTGACATTCTTGGACCGGTTTCGTCCTTATTAGGACTCTTCTGCAATAAATAGAAATTATCGACTCCAATCTCTAATGGAGTCTGGTTGCAATACCAATTTCGGTCGAACTCAATTACGGTGGGTTGAGCGAAAGTGGTATCGCCATCTATACTTAGTAAGCAGAATCAAAGGTCTCTGTAGTACCTAGTTCAGAGACTAGGTGAAATAAAAGTCAGGCAGGCTGTTCTTAAAAAAGGAAATAATTCTAGTCCTAATAAGGACTTTCTTATTAGTGGGCAAAATCAAAAATTACATCTAGTGGATATCCACCATGGTTTGCGGTCGCGCCTAGACTTTGATATATTTAGTGGATGTCCATGGGATATTGAATACACCTTAAAAAAAATAATTTTAAATATCTGAACGGTACTATTAGCCACAATGGCGTAATTTTTTAATAATTTGCTATATAATTACTATTATTTATGGACATTTGCATGTCTATAAATTACATCTCATGGATATAAAATAGATATCCACCATGGACTGGACATTCAGTGGATATTGGGATGTCCAGTAGATATCCAAAGGATTTGGTGTGCTATCTGGGCAGTACTCAGAAATACTATCTCTTCTAATTATGATGTTATAATTTTCACTGAAACGTGGCTGCACAGTGATTTTCATTTTCAGAGCTCTTCAATCCAAATTATCAAGTTTTTCGAAAAGACAGAAACTAGAACGAAATGTTTCCAGAGGAGGGGTGTGCTAATATCTGTTTTTCATTCTTACCACTGCTTAATTATAAACTCTCCACTTAATGTTGCATATGATGATATCTGGATTCACTTAACACAACTCTGTTCCTATAATTATTGGGGTAACATATATCCCTCCTAGTTCAGATATATCTTGTTATATCTGTTTCTGCGATACATGTGAGAATCTTAGGAATGTTTATGGCAATGAAAAATTTATAATTGGTGATTTCAATTTGCCTGTTATCAAATGGTCTTTAGACGAAGAAAATATTCTAAATCCAAATCAACTCCACAGCCCTTCAGCTGAATTTTTGCTATATACTATTCTATCTTGAACTACAACAAAAAAACACGATGTCCAACACCTTAGGTAGAATACTTGATCTTATTTTTGTAGATGACTTTCATTCTTCTCAGGTTAAAGAGAGTGACTTCACATTGTCTAAAGTAGATCTACATCATCCACCTCTTAAACTAGCTGTCGACTACCAATTTATACCAACTCTTAAATCACCTAATGGTTCATCTGTTTTCTAATTTTACAAAGGAGATTACGTTGGACTTAACATTATTTTACCACGATCGATTGGATTTTTCTTGATGAACTGGAAGACCTAAATGTATTGACTCTAGTTTTACAATATTTTATTTAAGGGTATTGAGTTATATGTTCCCAAAAAAATATTAAAAGATGGAAATGATCCTAAATGGTACAGCCCCTACCTAAGAAAATTAATTAAACAGAAAAGTAATGTGTATAACAAGATGATATAGTACAGGTTATGAAAGATACAAGGAAATCCGAAATGAATCTAAGTACCACATTGACTTGTGCTACATGCTGTACAGGGCCGCCGAGAGCCATGGTGGGCCCCGGGACAAGCAAAATCAGATTCTTTCTTAGTGAAATCTAAAAACAAAAAGGTCCTCGCTTTGTATTTTTCGTAAACCAGGTCCTCCCTTTTGTGGCAACTACCCCTCCCCCCTCTCATCTTGCCTGATGCTAAAGCTTACCAATATGGAACACATAATTCCGTCCTACATAAAGTGCTTCTGGTCATATCTAACTCTTTAAAAAAGAACTCTGGCCTCCCCAAGTATATGACTTTTAAAGGAAAGTGTCTTAGTGAACCAAAAGAAATAGCAGAAGTTTTCGCACACTATTTTGAATCGTATTATAGTAACCACTCCATTAATATTGAAATACTGTAACTCTACCATTCATCGACAATTTGGTCTCATACCAATTTTCAGTTAATGATGTGTCAGAAAGAATTCTTATATTAGATTCTAGTAAATCTCCTAGTTCTGACGGAATATCAACTCTATTTGAAGAAATGCTACAATTCTCTTTCTGATCCACTGTGACGTATATTTCAAAAATCACTGAATACCGGTATTTTCCCTTCGATTTGGAAGGAGTGTTCAAATCTGGTGACAAAACTGACATAGCGAATTATAGAGGTATTTCCCTGTTATCAGCCACTCCTGAACTCTTCGAGTCAATTCTAGCTGACTTATAAGCAGTATATTGTTAAAGAGTAACATGGATTTTTCAGAGGGCGTAGCACTTGTACGAATTTATCTATACAAGATGTTTCAAAAAGGTATGTCATAAATTCTTCTTCAGATAGATTACCAAAAAATAAGTGGATTTGCCTATATCAAAAACTGACTCCCAACAAAGTTACAGGGCGTTAAACTAACATTCAAAAAAACGTTTTCTTGTTGTAGAAAGTTTGCTGTTGCGAGTTTTTCTTTAAATTTTTTACCAGTGCTGTAGATTTGAAAGCCCAATATTCTAAAAAGAAAAAAAAATTAAAGCAACCCCCTTAAAAAAGTTGGGGGGTTGGATACCTTTATTAACCCCTCGTATTTTTTTTTGACATAAAGGAACTTGCTTTATCGATCTTAAAATCAAAAAGAACTATGAATTTTTAATTTTTTTTTATAGGGAAATGAACTTTGTATCTTTCTTAGTTAACGAGCTATCTACAATTTTTTAACTGAATTTCTAGAACAATTCGTCCAAGTTCAAAAAAAAAATATATATACAGGGTGTACCAATAAAAACTCCCAGGCCGGTTATTTTGGTAAGTAATAGAGATATTTTAATTCTGTAAAAGCCAGTTGATAGAGTGCTAATAGAGCTTCAGTTTTAGATATAAATTGATTTTAAATAGGTCAATATGTAGATGGCGCTGCGCACAATAATTTTTTTTCAATGGGAGGATCTTTCTTATGTAGCGCATCTTGTAAAAAATGCATTTTTAAGCAAATTTTGTTTTATGAACTAATTCGATAAATCTAGCCATTTTTGATATACAGAGTGGGTCACTCAAAACAGTTTCATCCTATTTTTCGGCATTAATCATTGGATTTTTAGAAAATGCTAAAACAGGTCGATTTTTATTCCAAATTAAACACATTTTTACAATACAGACATCTATCATGTGTCAACCCCCTCCCTTCAACTTCTCCAACCCCTTAATTTTAAATAAGGAATGTACCATGTACGGCACATCATTTAAAAGGTAATTTTATGGAGAAGTCAGAAATATGAGAGTTTATTGCGATACTTTTAATTTTAGCGCCCTCTATCGGGATAAAAAAATCTGTAACGTAATATAGTGTGACACTCCATTTGAAAGCTTATTTAATTACTGATTCAATGCACCACATAACATATAAATATTTCCATATTGCACTTGCAACAAAATAAAGTTAGCAATAATGTTTAAAATAATGCATGACTAATTTTCAAACTATTGCAAGTGCAATGTGGAGGATATTTATATTAATATTATGTGGTACATTGAATTAGTAATTAATTTGCTTTCAAATAAGGTGTCACACTTTAAAATAAGTAGTTTTTATCCCGATAGAGGGCAGTACAATTAAAAGTATCACAATGAACAGTCATATTTCTAAATTCCTTATAAAATTACCTTCTTAATGATGTACTACACATTGTAGTATCACACTCTATATAATACGTAGTAGTTTTTTATCCTGCTAGAGGGCGACAAAACTTAAGTAACGCAATGTACAGAAATATTTCTGAATCCTCCATTAAAATACCTTTTCAATGATGTGCCATATATATGGTACATTACTTATTTAAAATTAAGGTGTGGAGAAGTGCAAGGGAGACACATGACATATGTCTGTATTGTAAAAATGTGTTTAATTTAAAATCGACCTATTTTAGCATTTTCTAAAAATCCAATAATTAATGCCGAAAAACAGGATGAAGCTGTTTTGAGTTACCCACTCTGTATATCCAAAATGGCTAGATTTATCGAATTAGTTTATAGAACAAAATCTACTTTAAAATGCATCTTTTACCAGATGCGCTATATAAGAAATATCCTCCCATCGAAAAAAAAAAAAAATATTGAGCGCAGCGTCATCTATATATTGACCTATTTAAAATAAATTTATATCTAAAACTGAAGCTCTCTTAGCGCTCTATAAACTGGCTTTTACAGAATTAAAATATCTCTATTACTTACCAAAATATCCAGCCTGGGAGTTTTTATTGGTACACCCTGTATACAATAGCAACTTCTGTCAATTATTGGGGCATAAGCTTTACTGATAATAATAGATTGTATCGAATGTTCACAGCCAATACTAGGTAAGTCGGCAAAAATAGAAAAATTACTTTTATATAGGTATCATCAAACAGTTTTTAGCCCTCTTTCTATTAATATATTCCGTTTTGTGAAATTTCGAAGCTAAGAATTGTTAACTGGTATTTCGAAAAATCGATATATGAGTAAAGATCTTTATTAATCAATAGAACGATAATTTGATATCATATTGTTAAACTATTGCATAGCTTTTATCGCGGGCTGTGAGCGTGGCGACCGAATCAAGAAATTCCGTAATTCCGTAACGAAAATAAACCTAACACCCCCCACTACGACCGGCACAGCGGCGCGGCGTTTTGAAAGCCGTGGAAGCTTCCTCTGGCTTCTAATAAATTGGTATCACAAATGTTCCTAGCTGGCGTAAATATTAGATATTAATTTTTTTTGCTAGATTTAGAATAGTATATTATGCAACGATCATGTAATAACCATTACATGAGAGTTGCATACGCTATTTTTTCTACACCCGATAAATAATCAAGACCTATAAATAATATATTTTTCTACACCCGTATTATAATAATGCACTTATATGCCCATAATCCGTTTCATAATGATACCCATTATGATACAGATTTTTCATTACGATACAGATTTTTAATCAATAGAAACCTACAATTTTTCAATCAAGCATGCTGTTTGACGTTTGTCCTAGGTTCCTATGTAATTATTTTAGTTGTCAAAACGTATTAAATTTTCGTAGGTAGCTAAACTTCGATAATTATAATATTAAAATGTCTGATATTAGCGATATAGAAGACTCCTCCACACATATCGGAGAAAGCAGAAAATACAGTACAAAATATTTTACCGCAAAAATCTATAGGAGTAATTACTGTTATTGTGTTCAATACCAATATAAATATAATATTTATAGGTCTTGATTATTTATCGGGTGTAGAAAAAATAGCGTATGCAACTCTCATGTAATGGTTATTAAAACACTCGCATAAACCATACGAAACTCGCCTTTGGCTCGTTTCGTATCCCGGTTAATGCTCGTGTATTAATAACCATCATTACATGATCGTTGCATAATATACTATTATATTGGTATTGAACACAACAGTAATTACTCGTATTTCTATAAAAAATTCTACAAAATTGTAATTAATGGTATTACTTCGGGTATTGGTATTTCCCTAGATTTTTGCGGCAAAATATTTTGTACTGCATTTTCTGCTTTTTCCGATATGTGTGGAGGAGTCTTCTATATCGCTGATATCAGACATTTTAATATTATAATTATCGAAGTTTAGCTATCTACGAAAATTTAATACGTTTTGACAACTAAAACAATTACATAGGAACCTAGGACAAACGTCAAACAGCATGCTTGATAGAAAAATTGTAGGTTTCTATATTGATTAAAAATCTGTAACGTAATGAAAAATCTGTATCATAATGGGTATCATTATGAAACAGCACACCAAATCCTTTGGATATCTACTGAACATCCCAATATCCACTGAGTGTCCAGTCCATGGTGGATATCTATTTTATATCCATGAAATGTAATTTATAGACATGCAAATGTCCATAAATAATAGCAATTATATAGCAAATTATTAAAAAATTACGCCATTGTGGCTAATAGTACCGTTCAGATATTTAAAATTAATTTTTTTAAGGTGTATTCAATATCCCATGGACATCCACATATATCAAAGTCTTAGCGCGGACGCAAACCATCGTGGATATCTACTAGATGTAATTTTTGATTTTGCTTCCTAAGTATAGATGGCGATACCACTTTCGTATCTACTCATGCTCAACCCGCCATAATTGAGTTGATCGAAAAATTTTTCGCAATAAGACTCAATTAGAGACTGGAGTCGAGAATTTCCATTTATTGCTGAAGAGTCTTAATAAGGATGACTTTTTACTTAGTGGGCAAACTAGAGATGGGTAAAGCAAGCTATTTTTCAGAAGCAGTGACAACCGCTTCTGCTACAACAAAAAAGCAGTGACTACTGCTATTTTTTGGAGCAGCTTTTAGATAATTTTCATATTTCACACATGGCGATAACGAAACGTTTTTTATGGCTATCTGTGTTTAGTAAAATTGTTTATCTATAAATTAATGATTATGGAGTTAATAATTTCGTATAAAACACATTTAATTTTCTTTTCTTGAATATTGGTTAGAACTTATCAAATGGACCTTACAGCCAGGGAAAAAGTAAATAAGATGATGATTGATATTATTAATTTTGTCTTTAGTTACATCAGGGATTCACTTATTGAGTTACTACTTAAATATTAACATTTTGCATTCTGTTTCTATTTCAACAAAAGTGTTTCTAATTTTTGAATGCCATTTTTTTTATATTGAATATGAATAGACAAAATAAGTCTATAAAAAAAGAATTTAAAAAATAAGAATGTATATCGTTTTCCTTTTTTCTCGGAACCTGCTCCGAAAAGTAACAACTTTTCGTGGAGCATATAGGTTACCGTGGAATTTATTGAGAAATTATTATTAAAAAATCACAAAAAATGTTCAACTAGGTTACTTGAAAATTTTTTGTGATTTTTTAATATTAATTTTTCAAAAAGTTCCACGGTTTACTATATATATTTTATTGCATAAAACAAAATCTAAATATTTCAAAAACCTTATTTTTAGTTTTTTTCTACTCCATCTAATCAATAAATAGTATAATTCGAAAATGGTTGTTGAGGACTTACTTTCTCGTGAGGCACTGTACAAATACATTTTTAAAAAAAAAATCTCAAAAATTTGCAAGGTAAGGTATAGTTAAAAGTTCAGTATTAGATAAATAAGGACTTCAACTATTAGAAAAAAATTAATTTTAGTCATAATCTAATAACTTTTTTTTAACATTTGAGGCGAGAGGTGTGGCGAAAGGACCTCCTTAACACCAATAAATATAAAAAAAAAAAAAAAAATAATTAAACAACCCTAAGCCTTCCAAAGATAGTTTTTCACAATTATCCAAAATTCTTAAAAATGCAGATTGCCGCCTTTGGTTCTAGACCCCTCAATTGTAGTTTTTTATCCTCTGTTAGGATTTGTGTAGGTTTAAGTCTGTATTTATCAACGTTAAAAGGCAGACACCTTTTTCTGTAAATAAATTATTCAGAAATATTCAAATATTTTCGTAAATAGTAGACTACTAAAAATTTTTTTGGCGGTAGATATCAACATAACACCTTCATTTAGATATAAAATATATTTTTGACAAAATGTTAGATGTCTTCTGTTATTCACTCCTCCAATTAGTAAGTTGAAATTTAGTGGAAATTCGTATTGCACAGAGGATTTTTTAAATAAAATATATATATATATATATTTTTGGGTTTACTAGTGGTGTCGGATTGAAAACTTTTTTTCTTAAAATTGAGTAATATATAATTTATAAATAAGTTATTTATTAATACAATTTAAAATGAAATAAAAAAGCAATCTTTAAATAAAAACAGATCAGCTGTTATATAGCAAAATCAATTTATTTCACAGGCGTATAAACATTCTCACAACAGACAATTAATTAAATGGAAAAAGAAAACTGATAAATTAAAATTTGCTGTTAATGGTATATACTTTAAAAGTTCGAGTATAAATTAAATAACAATATAGCAATAATTTAAAAGACACTAAAACTTTTCTTCTTCCAGTCCATGTTTAAAGAACATCATTACTGGTACAGAATCTCCATCGATATCTCTGTATTCCATTAAGCCTACCATGCCTTCAATTTCCATGGATTCTCCAGTGAAAAATTGGAGCTCTTTAAACCTTCCTAGGATATCTTTCATTACTTTGTTCATATTTGTTTTAAAAATATCTACTTGGTCTGGTGATTTTTCTTGTAATTTTTCAACTAATCTGAAACAAACAAAAGTATTTTCAAAATTCTGATTTGTTTTTTATTTATGCATTCTCCATAAAGCTGGATAATAAAAAATAATTTTAAATTGTTAGCAAACAATTATAAATTAAAAAACAAAAACAAATCGAAATTATTAACTGAAGATTCTAAATTTACCACATATTTTGTTTCATAAGTCTATGATTATTATATTACAACAATTTTATTGGATAAGGCCTTTATATAAAAAAATATTAAAAATAAGTTAAATCTTTGTATCAAAACCAATGGAAGTTAGTGTTTAATAAAATAATTTATCATTGATATGAAAACAATTCCATTATTTTGTTGAAAATTAAACAGTTTCTCTTATTAAATTGAAATTTTCTGTAACAAAAATGCTTTTATTAGGTTTGTTTTTTAATAATATTGTAATAAAAAAAAATACTATTTGAGGAACTGAAGTATATAATTTTCAACAATATATGGAAAAATATTCACTAGACTCAATTAAAACTGAACAAATTACCAGCAGTAGTAGGTACTTACTGTTTAAGGATATTAACTTATTAGTCCAATTATTATTTGACTGATTTTAAAAGAAAAGTATAAAAAAATTGGCAATTGAGTGTACCCATGTCACATAAAAATTAAAATTCTGTAAATAGTCACTTTTACTATATTATAAAACCCAACAAATGAAAGAATGTCTTAGGCCAAAAACCAATTGAATAAAATGTAAAATTCAAGTTATAAATTACAAAAAAAAAAGACAAATACCTATATTAAAAACATTAATTATAGTGAGTAAAAAAAGAAAAACATAGTTCTATGACCCAGTTGTATATAGATAAAAGAGAGTTAAATTTTAGAATTTGTCAAATAGATATCAACCATAATAATGTAAAAAATAACCCTTTTTTGTAATTCAGGCTGCACAATGTTCTCAATAGGATTCTATCTACTACGTTCCTTCTAATCTTTAATTATGTGTGTGTATGTATTTCTGTTTGGCACTGGTTTCAAAACTAATCTTTGATTGATTAATCAATAAAATTCTCTTTATAAAAATAAAACAAAATTATGCCCAAAGAATGTTTAAACTATGATACAAATTTTGTTTTTTGGCAATGTTAATGACTGAGTCAGATATTCTAGTATTTTAAGAACTAGATAAAACTTTCGACACTAAAAATATAAATATTTGTAATAATCACATTTTTATTAGTTTGCATAGAAAGAACAAAATAACAAAATAAATATGATTTTTTTTTTCATTTTGCACAATTTGCTCTGAATAACAATAAAAAATGTCATTCAGTATTAGTTCATGCATCAAAGATTAATTTTCATTTTAATAATCTTTCAAATTTATAACTGAAAGAAAGAACTTTGAAGTCTCATTACTCAGTTATAAATACAGCTATTTTTTAAAAATGGAATCATTTGTTGATAATACAATGTAATTTTAACAGATTAATGTTATAAATGTATTATAAGACATTAATTTTTGCACTGTTGACAAAATGTTTGCATTTTATCCTCTTATTTAATAAAATTGTAAAAACTCACTTTTTCATATAGTCCTTAAGGTAAAGAGTGTAAGATTTCTTGTCTCCAAAAGCGTAAGTTTCGCACAACCTGTGATTTAAAACGATATCAACACCAGATTCAACATTAACCTCAGTGCCCTCATCAACTTCTTCAGCGGAAGGATTAGCTCCATCAATTTGAATGTCTCCTTGTTTACGTTGAACTAATTTTCCGTAAACTTCATAAATGACTTCGTCCACTAATTTCATTTTATAGGAGTCTGAGAACATTTCGTCACCTAAAACAGATTATACGTCAAAAATGACAACATGATAAATACTCAATTTTTTGTGTTAGTACTGAACAAAACACAAAAATATCAAAATATAATAGTTTAGCGATGTCCAAATAACAAAAATTACCAGTAAAAATGTCTTTGTAAATCCTCATTTTGCTGGATTAATTTGGATTTTGCTCTTCAAACCTTTGAAGCTTCCTCCTCCTTCAAGAGAGCACTTAAAAAAGGACATTGAAAGTTAAACGTCAAAATTCATTTATACCAACTGTTGAAATTTGATACCAACCTGGAATAAACAGTAAACCAAGTTCCCTAACTAAATTAAAGGCACGTCATTGGCTAATAATTCGATGATAATATACACATTTGAAACTTGTGGACCCTATTCTTGAACTAATTTATCAAAATTATGACACAACTCTAAATTTTAGTTGATTTTTTTGTTAAGCACCACTTTTTCAGCATTAGCGTCTATCAGATATTGAATATTTTCGGTTTCTATAAATTATCATTAGTATGGGTGTTTCATAATATATGCGCAGGACTTCATGACGTGATAGCCCGTCCAAAAATATGAAAAAACGTTTCCATTAACTTACCCTCTAAAATGCACCATTTTCGAGATACATCAGGGTGTTGAAATTGAAAAAAAAAAAAAATTCTACGCCACTGGAAAAAGTACGGTTTTGAGACGCCCATTTAAACCGCCAATGTTTTCTACACAAAAAAGGTACTCTTGGTCATACGCTCTAAAGTCGACCGTTTTCAATAAAAATCAAATTTTGTTTTATTTCCAAAAATTGACCATGTATTTCAACATTAAAATTTGATTTTTCTCGAAAACGGTCGACTTTAGAGCGTATTTTTTGTTCCCATTAGAAGAAAAATGTAGTATTTTTAAATAATAACTACTTCAAAATGTATTTCTTCGCTATTAGATAGCGTGATATTTTGTTGATGAATTAAATTGTTTGTCAAATGTCTAAAAAAAAACAAACAAAACTATAAAGTTTCTTCTTATTTTTATGGATTTAAATCTAAATTGTGTTTTTAAATCTGTTTGAGGAATTTGTGAGGATTTTGTTGCTATTGTGAGGAAAAATGGAGCATTTTAATTAGATTTGGGGGTAATTCCGTTATTTGCGGTTGTAAATATACATACAGTGCGTTTCATAAGTAAAGGCTGTATGTCACGATACTAAATTAAGTACTAAATTTAGAACTAAATTAATGCATTTTTTAAGTACTAAAAAAATTCACGTTGCAAACAGCAAATTTAGTACTAAATTTAGTGCTAAAAAAAGTCATTAATTAAGTACTAAAAGTGCGCCGAAATGTTGCGCAGAAGTTTTTCATAGAAAAAGTTGACACGACGGTATTTTCTGTACCCTTTTATTTTTAATTAGCGACAATTTTACATTATCGCCTTGAATAAAGTTCGCTTGTTTGATTTTGTAGGTTTTATTGTGTTTTTTCGTGGTTTTTATGCTGTATTTGGTTGTTGTCAAGTCAACTAGTGTCAAATTGATAATAAAATAGTATATTATGCAACGATCATGTAATGATGGTTATTAATACACGAGCATTAACAGGGATACGAAACGAGCCAAAGGCGAGTTTCGTATGGTTTATGCGAGTCTTTTAATAACCATTACATGAGAGTTGCATACGCTATTTTTTCTACACCCGATAAATAATCAAGACCTATAAATATTATATTTATATTGGTATTGAACACAATAACAGTAATTACTCGTATTTCTATAAAAAATTCTACAAAATTGTAATTAATGGTATTACTTCAGGTATTGGTATTTCCCTAGATTTTTGCGGTAAAATATTTTGTACTGTATTTTCTGCTTTCTCCGATATGTGTGGAGGAGTCTTCTATATCGCTAATATCAGACATTTTAATATTATAATTATCGAAGTTTAGCTACCTACGAAAATTTAATACGTTTTGACAACTAAAATAATTACATAGGAACCTAGGACAAACGTCAAACAGCATGCTTGATTGAAAAATTGTAGGTTTCTATTGATTAAAAATCTGTATCATAATGAAAAATCTGTATCATAATGGGTATCATTATGAAACGGATTATGGGCATATAAGTGCATTATTATAATACGGGTGTAGAAAAACACCATTTACTTGTCTGTTTTACACATAATATTTCATTTCTCTGTTAATTTTACGTATTAATACGTCAATGCGCGTGCGCCTATAGTAAATTTAGTACTAAAAATTGGTATCGTTGCAAACGGAAAAAAAAATTTTTAGTTCTAAATTTAGTACTTAATTAATAACTTAATTTAGTGCTAAATTTAGTACTTAATTTAGTATCGTGACATACAGCCTTTACAGTTTAAAAATGAATCTGTTGAAATCAAAATTTAAACCTTTCTGAAGATCTCAATATAGAATGGTTTTTGTTTAATATTAAAAGAAGAAGAAAAGATACGTCAAACATCATATGTCATATTTCCAACTAACAACTAACCTCCAAACCTCCATTTTTGGCTTCCCTCTATTAGCCGAATAAGCACGTGTCTTGTATTCTTAGTTAAGCTGTCGCAAAAATAAAAATATAAAGCAAAAATGGCCAGTGATTTAGAGAAGCAAATCATTAAACAAATTGAATATTATTTTGGAGACATAAATTTACCTCGTGATAAATTTTTACAGGAAAAAATAAAAGAAGATGATGGTTGGGTTAGCTTAGAAGTATTGCTAACATTCAAGCGTTTGGCTTCTTTATCTACTGATACAGAAGTTATTGCAAAAGCAATGGAAAAATCAGAAGACAATATAGTGGAAGTCAGTGAGGACCTCAAAAAAATAAGGCGCCATCCTGAAAATCCTGTTCCCGAACTAAATGACGAACGACGTCAACAGCTTATGGCTAGAACTGGTAAGTATTTTATTTCCTAACCCGAATAAGTTAACATCAAAATTTTGGTTCAAATGTTATGCTGGTTACTTAAGAATTTTATCTAAATTGATTTAACCTTATTTTTTTGTCTATGAGGCAATTTCAGATGTTTTGTCTAATACCTAGTTAAGAATATCAAAGTATTGTCCTTAAAAATGTACAAGTTGTATATAAAAATATTAAAAACATTTTGTTTTTTGCGATTTTACAGTAAACTTGCAATATGTACACAAAAAAATATCCCTTTAAATACAAATGTTGCATATACACATATTGACATTTGCAAGTTACATAAAATATCTGAACGTTGTGTATAAGCAAGAAAGGTAAAAAATTATCAGGATACCCTATATATTCATATGATAATATATTTTTTAAATTGCCAACTTTCACTTGTGATCGACAGCCCTAAGCAAATCTTATTGCTTACAAGCGACCCAAGTGAAAGACTAAAAATTGATACAGATGACAACTGACCAATTACTTTACAATGAGCAAGCGATTGTGCATAAATCATGGTAGTCTTATTGATTTTATCAGGCAACACCCCAAAACATACAAATTGTTTTAAAATAGGAGTTGAGTCAAAGTGGCACTAGTCATGCAGATGTGTATAAGCATACAAAAATAATTCAGGCCAGAACATTTGCTTATGAAAAAAAATCTGTCTTTAGAGGGTTAAGGGCAATCATACTGAAAATCAGTAGCTGCTTTTAAAATGTGTCTAAGAGCCCTTGATTTATATAGGGGATTCCTACTATTTTATAGGGACAATATTGCTATTTCTTAAACAGTAACAGATGGAAAGTTGGTTAAATTAGACAAAAGTTGCACAGTTTTGTGTTCATTAAAATGATGCCAAGAAACCTTTGATATCTACAGGGAGATTCAAAATATGGGACAAAAAATTAAGTAATAAATTTAAAGAAATGACAATTTTCATTTTTTGTCTGATAGTTTGAATCTCCCTATAGATATTAAAGGTTTCTTGGCATCATTTTAATGAGCACAAAACTGAGCAACTTTTGTCTAATTTAACCAACTTACTATCTGTTAACCATTTAAGAAATATCAGTACGGTCCCTATTCAATAGTAAGGACCCTGTGTAACATAAAATTTAATTCCTAGTAACCTTGAAAACTATTTTTCAATGGGTACCTAAGTTTGTTTAATCATAATTTTGGAATAATAATGAGAATCATTTCATTTTATGGATCAAGGTATATAAGTAATTTCTTTTATTTATTTACAGCATATGCAAAGGGATTTCCTCTCGATGAAGACTTTAATAAAATTATTGCTTTTCTTGAACCATATGGCCCTATTGAATCCTGCAACCGACGATCTACTAAAGATCATAAATTTAAGGGTTCATGTTTCATAATTTTCAAAGACTTAGATACTTGTAAAAAATTTGTGGAATTAGAAAGTGTAAAATATGGAGAAACAGAACTAATAAGAAAATTCCAGAAAGTATATTTTGATGATAAAACAAAGGAAATAGAAGAGAAAAAACAGGCCAAAAAAGAAAAGAAAGCTGCTGCTGCAGCAGCTAATGAGAAACCAGAAAAACAAATTGAGTTTCCTAAAGGAGCTGTAATATATTTCTCTGGACTGGAAGAGGGTCAAAATTTGACAAGAGAAGAATTGAAGGATAAAGTTAAAGAAGTAGGAGATCTGGAAACACAGTTTATAGATTTCAAAAAGGGTGATATAAAAGGTTATTTACGTTTTCCAGAAGAGAACAATGCAGTTGAATTCTTTAAAAAAATTGATGATGGTGTATTAGAAGTTAGTGGTTTTAAGCTTAAACTAAGAGTTGTTGAAGGAGAAGAAGAAGAGGAATATTTGAAAAAAAGTTCAGATGAAATTCATGAAATGAGAAAGAAACAAAAGTTGAATGGAAAAAATAAGAAACGCAAGGGTAATTATGGCCGTGGCGGCAGGGAGGCTAAATCACGAAGAACTGATTAATTTAATTTCTTGTTTACTTTGGTGTTGCTATTAAGATGTTAATTAGGGACTTTTTGTATTAGTTATAAATGATACTATCCTATCATACAAAATAAAGTTTATCTTTTAATGGTGACACAGTGACCTAAAATTGGGTTTATATATTTTCTACAAATTGTTTTCTGTTTGAAATAAAATATTTGTTAAGTAAAAAGTTTATGAAAATAAGGAAAGGTTTTATTATTTTTTTATCAATTTAAATTTTGATAGTAGTTGAATTTGTGCAGTTAATATATTAGAATGAATATATAAACTTAATAAATATGGTTGTAAGATAATATGACTTTTTGTTACAGAGAATAATATAATTTTATGAGAATTTTAAGAAATGTTGTTTCTGAAATCTACTGATTAGTAGTTCTTTACTTGTAGAAAATTCTTATGTAAATATTCCATGATAAAATCATATGTATTGTTTTATAATATGATTCACAATTTTAATGAATAAACAAACTGAATTTAATTATTTTGTTTATTGTTTCTTCCATCAAAACATCACTTCCTGTAAAGTTGTTAAATCTATTTAGTAATGCCTATCTAATCATTCAAGATGAAAATTAAAGGAAAAAAACATGTATTATCAAAATAAAATTGATGAAGCTGACATAGACCCTAAAAAAGTTTTGGAAAGTAATAATTTATTTAGCATTCAGAATACATATACAATAATATTAACAAGTTCTTTTTTCTAATAATAATAAAAGCATTTATTGCCCAACAGTTTCCCATTTACAAGGCAAATTTAACGATATAAAATTAAACTTAGAAAATACATAAGATAAGTAAATAAATTACAATAAAAGTAAAAATCTGATGTGTCCAACACACGACTTTCCTATCTAGTTATTATAGGCTTTTTCCAGTTATTTTGTACAACCTATTGCAGCACCACTATAAATGTTTAGAGGATAAACTAAATATATATATTTTCCACATACATCTACCTCGAAACATTTTTCTATAGATATTCATTGAAAACGAAAATAATGAAAAATTTAAATTTAGCACTTTTCCTACAATTTTTCCATTACGGTCCATTTTAGAAAAATCATGTATAAACAAAAATTATAGAGATCGATATCGCAAACAACTTTTAGTTTAACAATTTTCATAAAAATCAGAATTTTGCACATTTTGTCAAATTTCTCGAATACGGACCATTTCAGGAAATTTTGACATATAGCAAAAATTATAGATAATTTTCTTCTCCAAACATAAATAACAGATTTATTTATTTAATACACTGTTCAACAGGAAACCTAATTAAAGAACAGGAATACAAGAAAAAAAAAAGATTCACAATCTGAACAACAAAATTCAAAAGTAAGTAGGTTACAATAAGAACAAGAGTTACAAGCTAAATGGGAGAGCTTTTTAAAACATTTGTTCTAGGCACTGGAAGGTAAAAAGTGCATGCAGACCTTGCCGAAAATCGAGGAACATAAAAGTTAATCCTTTCTAATATGGCGGAGTCATCAATTTTATCAGTCAGTAACTTAAATAGAAACAGCACAGAGTTACAAGAACGGCGAGCTGACAAGCTATTAACTGCGTGTCTTTGCAAAAGAGAATTATGAGGCATTCCGATCGCAGGGTAGACACCATCAATTTTAAAACTTAACAGATATATTCCATAAAATATAAAAACGGCCTCCCATAAAGTACCCCCCAGATGTTCCGACTTTGTCCAAATTCTAATTATTTTACGTTTTTGAGTTCTCTTCAAATTTCGGAATTTACACATTTTCTCAAATATCTCGAATACGGTCCATTTTTGAGAAATTATGTATAGGATAAAAATTATAGAGAATTATATTACAAACAACTTTTATTTGAACAATTTTAATAAATTTTTTTTTACATTTTGTCAAATTTCTCGAATACGGACCATTTTAGGAAAATTTTGTATAGAACAAAAATTATAGATAATAATATAAGAATAACTTTTATTTAAGGAATTTTCTTCCCCAAACGTAAATAACATATATTCCATAAAATATAAAAATGACCACCCATAAAGTACCCCCCCCCCCCAGATGTTCCGACTCTGCCCAAAATCTAATCAGTTCATTGGACGTTGGAACAAATCTTAAGTTTAAAATTTGGTGTTTTTCTGGGTATCGGTTCATGAGTTATGGTGGATACAGGACATCATCGCGAAAATAGTCAGAACGGATTCAGGGGACCTCAAAACGTAAAAATTCGTGGAAAACTCGAGGTCGAAAAAAATCATGATTCCTATATAGAAAGGAAAGTAAAAAGTAGAAAATAGTAAAAAATTAATATGAAATCAAAGATAAGCTTTTGATTTGTTTTTTAATTCACATATACTGCAACAGAAAATATCACAAATATCTGATAGTTTGTTTGCATTACTACACATTGGCGCTTTTGATAACAAATTAGTTTGAGCTCGTTTTCTTAGAAATGTTATATTATAAAATGGAAATCAGTCATTATCATCCAAAATATCATAATCGTCATCATCATCACTGTCATCACCATTAATTGTTATTATGATTTGATTTTTATTTCGTTTATTTTATTTTCACGAGTCCACCAATCTTCTATTAGTTTCTCGCACTTGCATATACAGTTCCGCCACACTTCTGGAGTTGCAATTGAAAGTGCTTTTCGCCAAGTTTCCCGAATTGCGTCGTCACTATAACCATTAGGTTACGTTATCATCTTGCCATATTCTCTTGGTTGCACCCCTAGAAAATATCCATGTTTCGTCTATATAAAATTCGCCCCTTCCTCTTTAAATTTAGAATATTTTCTTAGAAAGTTAATTCTCTTGTGCACGACAGAACTTCTTTCACAAAGAGCCTTTCTGTTATCCTCCTTTTGAAATTTGAAACCCAAGTTATGTGTATCACTTGCCATAGACTTGTTCTGCCAATGTCGTCAAATTTTCTATCTATTAATTCCGAGAGAATTGTATTTAAGGTCACATGTTCCCTGTTGGCCCTCATTCGATAAATGGTATCACGAATTTCAAATTTCTTTCCATTTGGAATATCTTTCGTTTTCAATGATGGGCGAGTTTTGCGGTGATCTTCTTTCGGCAGTTCACTATTGTGATTTTGTAATACTCCTCTTAATTTGGTGTCGCTAATTCCTAGAGCATCGCATACGTATTGTTGAACAGACATTACCGATTTTAAAGGACCGCCATTTTCTTTTTCATCCGTAAAATACTTATGTACACTACAAATTAGACTATCTACATCTAACACACGTCTAGGCATTTTTAAAATTTCCACTAAATCTACAATATACATAAAATGTCAACACTTGCAAAGAATCAATTCAACTGCAATATTTGTAACAAATTTAGTACCTACCCTAATGTTATTTTAATTTCAATCTGACCATTAAGGCAATTTTACCTAATTTCTTGGGAAGAGACTTATTGGAATTGGTTGTCAATGACTAATTTGCATACTTTTGTTAATCCGAAACCCGCGTAAGTATAGCGAACAGACTGTAGTTACAACCTCTTGGAGGATAAAATCCATTTAATTTAAAACTTAAGAATTTATTTTGAATTTTCTCAATAATGTCTGAATAATGAATGTATATAGGATGCCATATTATTGATGAATATTCTAATTTTGTTCTAACTAAGCTAAAATATAAGGAAGTTAAGCCGAGAGACTATTGAAATTCTTACAATTCTGGATTATTAAACCATATGCACGGTACGCTGAATTCACAATACAGTTAATGTGGTAGTTAAAAGTAACTTGATAATCAAAGTGAACACCCAAATCTTTAATAGTGTCTGTTCTTTCCAAAATAATATTAATGGAATAAGGAAAATTCACAGAAATATGTTTGCGGCTATAAGTCACAATTTTACATTTAGAAATATTTAAAAAGAGACGATTTCTGTGACACCATTCCTGCAATATGTTAATTTGATTTTGCAATGTTAAACAATCAGCTGTGCTAAAGATACTGGTATATAATTTTAAGTCATCTGCAAACATTAACCTATTGCATTCAAGCGAGTCACACAAATCGTTAATGAATATTAAGAACAATAGTGGCCCTAAATTGGACCCTTGAGGAACTCCACTAGTTGAAGTAAAGTAATTAGAATTAAATCCATTTAGTGCAGGGTATAGTGGCGCATTCGTTTGCAAAATTGTTTTAATTCATAATTTTTTTTTTAAATATCCGGAAGGCTTTCCTGATTTATAAATGTGTAAGATGATACTCGATATCTGTTGATGTTGTTTAAACAACGAAAAATTAATTAAGCCAGAAAAAATGCATTTTTGCAATGAATAAATTTTTTTTATATTCTTTAGGATATTTCGAATAAAAAAAGTCCTTACGCCCATCATCGTATCTTTAACCCTTTAATTGTTATGAATGTTTTATAATCCGAAATTGACGAAAATTCTAATTTTCTTGAATTAAATAATATACCTTTAAATTTACCGAATATTCAAACTATAATAAACAATATAACCTAAATAAATTTTCAAAATTTTGTTTGTTATGTTTTTTTACGTTATAACAATATGCGTCCTACTTTCTACGCGCGTGTACTTTTAGAGAGAAGTACTTCTAACTCAATGTATAAAATGGGTAAGAGAAAGCCCGATAACGCGCTGAATCAATTTTTTGCTGTTTTTCAGAGGTAATAAGTTTAAAAAAATTATTATTAACATTTTTCATAACTGTTATATTTTCCGATTAATAGTTTTGTATCATGTGATTTTTTTTACTTTTTTAGATACTTTTGATAACTTTTTTATTTATTTTGCCCAAAAGGAGGAGAAAGTCATCCTCATTAGGACTCTTCAGCAATAGATGAAAATTCTCGACTCCAGTCTCTAATGCAGCCATACTCAACTTGCGGCCCTCCAAGCTTTTTTGTGCGGCCCTCCAGGCTTTTTTGTGCAGCCCCAAACACTATTATTAGAAATTGAAATGGTTGATATACAGTCCTTTTTTGAAATAAATTGTCCTTGCGACTTTTCAAAGCTTATTAAAACAACTAAAACAACATGAGGATTTAAAACGGATCCCTGTCGTCACCCATTGTCTTTATTTACATTTCAAAAAGGTGGAAACTCTAGTTATAACCCAAAAATATTGTGGCCCGTGTAGCATAACAAACAGATTTATGTGGCCCGTATAGCATAACAAACAGATTTATGTGGCCCGAAAGAAAAAAAGGTTGAGTACAGCTGCTCTAATGGAGTCTGATTGAGAAACAAATTTCGATCGAACTCAATTACGGCGGGTTGAGCATGAGTAGATATTCAACGAGCGAAAGTGG